AAAAAAAAAAAAAAAAAAAAAAAAAATCAGATAGATTATTATTTTTATTTTTTCCAACATACCAGGGTGGTGCTACTGGTTGCGTGGTGCACTGTAAGGCGAGTTGCAGCTCACTGTTCAGATATCTCTTCAAGATCATCCTGTAGGCAGAAGATTTACTTAAAATTTGGGAAAAAATAACTTTCAAAAAATCCAAAACTTTAATGATAATAAATGTGAGTAGGAGAGAACTTTATAAGTTCATAATAATAATAATAATTTATTTACTAAAATCGCAACCTAAAGGTTGAAGTTTTACAATGTGTCTTAAATAATAAAATCATAAGGTATTTTAAAATTAACTAAAAATTATAAACTAAAGGAGCAAAGACTTATAAGACAGTTTGAAGCAGTAATTTACATAAAATTTAAAAGACTGTGCATTATAAAAGATGATTTAAAACGCTCCGTTTTTACTTTTGGTATTAAAAATTTGTTGCTGACCCTGAGATTTCTTGGGTTCTTTTGCTTAAACAGATGGTGTAGCTTATTAAAATTCTTGATTTTTGTAAAAAAGTTCTTAAGTAAAACGTCTCTTCTCTCCCTCAGAGAGGTGAGATTACTAGCCTGTAGGGCATCCTTGTAAGTATAAAATGGGTAAATAATTCTAAGAGCTCTCCTTTGAACAGATTCTAAGCATTCACATTGTTCGGCTGTAAGACCAGGCCCCCACACAGGGCATGCATATTCTGATTTGATCTAGGACTGATCTAATTATTGATTGATATATAACTATTAGATCCTCAGTGGCCAGATTTGCCCTTTTCAACTGCCTTAGATAAAAAAGCTTGGCATAAGACTTTGAATAAATTAACTGCACATGTTCTGTCCACTTGAGATCAGGGGTCAGAGTTACTCCTAGTAGCTTAAATTTACTCACTTTTCTACAATTTCTCCATCTACCAATAGTGTTGGAATGATATCTATACATTTGGTAAAGTTAAAATCCATGCATTTTGTCTTCTTTACATTTAATTTCATATTGTTTTTTCTAACCCAATTTTCAAGTTGCTCTATTGCCTGTGGAAGTAGTGACTTTTGGCCAAACTGACAAATTTCATAAATAGATGTGTCATCAACAAATTTCATATCTGGACAGCAGGTTTTTAGATCATTTATCATTGCTATAAACAGGATTGGACCTAACTTTGTCCCCTGAGGTACCCCTCCGTTAAGCTGGACCCAGTCAGATTTACACTGACCACATTTCACTCTCTGATATCTTTGGCATAAAAAGGAGTAAATCCATTTCCTAATAAACTCTGGAATCCCTTGACTGCCCAGTTTTTCAATTAAGATGCTGTGGTCTATTCTGTCAAATGCCTTAGAAAAATCTAAAAATAAAACTTGTGAATAAGATTTGGTTTTAGCAGATGGTTCAAGACCTTCTAGTATTTTGTGAGTCAGCTCTACTAGGGCGTGGGTAGTAGAGCTATTTTTGACTACTCCAAATTGGGACTTATCGATTTGCAGGCTACTCATCACCCATTTTGCCACAAATGACTCCAATATTTTACTCAACACTGGTGTAAGCGATATTGGTCTAAGATCAGCCTCTATCACTTTTGGTTGGTTAACTTTTGGGACAGGGATTACCTCTGCAGATTTCCAAGTGTCAGGTACATATCCCTCTCCGATAGAGCTATTAAAAATTGCGCACAAGGACTTGGACAGGAAGCCTGCATGATGACCCAATTTGGAATTTGGTCAGGTTAAGCCTTTGAAAGCTTAACATCAGAGAGAAGTTTTTCGACATCATTTACGCTAATAGTAAACTCATCTGGTACTACATAGTTCTGTTGGACATTTTCAGCCGGTGTAAGAGGAGTCAAATTGCTACTAACACTTTGAAAAAATTCGTTGAGCCTTTTTACTCGAACCTGGTAATTACCATTTGATGATTTAAGTTGATTTAATATCGGTAGAAAAAATATTGGGTCGCCTTTTCCTTGGCAGGGAAATTGCTGGCAGCCTTGTATTAGTTGTAAACATCTATATAATATTTATCTATTTAATTGAAATATGTATTTCACTTGGGATAACAATTACGGAAAAAACCGATTGAGATGGTAACTTTCTCGCCTCAATACCAGCATTGCTTTAGATGTGCCGGTGTTTTAGTGTAATTGTGTTATGACGTCATCACTTCATGCGGTCGTCCAATGATATTTGAGAATCCAAGGCTAGACCCGTGACAACTGCATTTTCTTTCGTTGTTAGCAATGAGTAATAACTTGCCATCGATAAACTCTATTAGTTGTTCCGGGTTCAAGAAAAAGCCAAAGGCGAAGGGACACGTCTATCAGTGTTATTTTCCAATCAGAAAGTAGTGCAACAGCGGTCAAGTTCTTCACACATAGAAAGCAACTATGATTGTCGTCAAGTTAATGGGTAAGAATACATTTTAGCATGTGACATGGCTGTCGTTGTTTTCTGTTCGGACAGTCGGTCATCCGGGCACTTTACCTTAGCAACCGGCATTTGGGGTAACGCTACCCGTGCAAACATAGCGGATCGCATTGACTTCTATGTAAAAGTTGGCAGACTTTGTGCGAAGAAATCATATTTCACAGTGCTTGGCCACTTGTGTCAGTGAGGATGAGTTATTTACCTGGGTTTCCTTTACAGGCCTTTGTAATTAGCCGCTGCACACCTGTTTGCACGGGTAGCGTTAGCCCAAATGCCGGTTGCTAAGACGTGTGGCGTCAGCCCGACTGTCCCTATGTTCACTATTTTATATAGAACTTTATCTTATTTATTACATAAATAAATATTATTACATAATTCGTTCTATGAATCCATTTGACTGCGGATACATAGGTGAAGACGTAATGTGCGTAAATCCCCAAGTGTTTGTGAAGTTTTTGAATTCTTCAGACGAAAACTGAGCTCCATTGTCAGTTTTAAGAATCTCAGGGATGCCATGCTCCTCGAATATGTACTTGTATATGTACTTGTGAGTTTCCGCACTAAAGGATATTTGCTGTACTAAAGGATATTTGCAACTAATAAGTAGTCAGTTTGTCTCCAATAGAACAAATCTGCTGCTAATGTGTGCCATACGGGCAATAAGGGTTCCTTACTGTTGGCAGCTTGGTGTTTCTGGCAAGGTGGACACAGTCCAACTGTGTGCTCAATATCATTATTCATGTCAACCTGGAGTGAAAGTGGCTTGCTACTGTCGTAGAATTGGAGGTTGGTTGCGTTTGCTATTTCTCTTTTTATCTCGTTGAATGCAATACAGTGTTCAGCATTCCACTGAAAAATACTTTCCTTCTTGCACAGGTCTCTGAGACTGGTTGTAAGTTGAGACATATGGGGAGTGTATCTGCTTAGATAATTTACCATTCCAAGGAATGTTTGTAGCTCGGATACATTTCTCGGTTCATTCATTACATTAATGGCTTCTACCTTTGCTGGGTCTGGTTTTAGCCCGTCTTTTCCTATAATATGACCGAAGAATGGAATTTCTTCCTTTTTAAGAATCATCTTGTCTTCATTAAAGCGTATCCCCTTTCTTCTGGCTGTATCTAATACTACGCGCAGAGTTGCGTCGTGGTCAGACCCGTCTTCCTGTCAACCTGCTATGATAAGATCGTCGGCGATTCCGGTACACCCTGGAATCTCTTTGAAGACTTCTTCAATCTTGGCCTTCAATCTTTCCAATATCCACTCCGAAGGTCAAGTATACTGAGATAATGCGCGCCACTCAGTTGAGGTAGGACGTCATCAAGTGTTGGTGTGTAGTGGTGTGGACGTTTAATTGCCGTATTTAGTCTTTTGGATCTAGGCAGAGACGTATTTTTCCATTGGGTTTGGTTACATATACACACAAGTTTACCCATTTCGTTGGTTGTGTGACAGGTGACAGGATACCTTGCTCAACGAGAGAGTCCAACTCCTCCTTGAGTGCTGGCTGCAATGCAATAGGTACACGCCGTGGTGGGTGACAACAGGAGAAACAGTGGGGTCAATATTTATGTGATATTCCCCACCTGATTTCCCGATACCTTCAAAGACATCCTTATACTCTGATACCGGTAGTATGGACTGTCTTGTCACTGTATTTATGTTCAGAGTAACAAGTCCCAGTTTCTGACTGGTTTCCATTCCTAGTATAACTGGTCCTTCACAGTCCACAATATAACTGTCTGAGGTCACCATGACCTTGTCATTTGTGAATGTCAATGTTGCTATTCCACATACTGGTAACTTACTGCCACCATATGCAGTAATCGTGTCATTTGTAGGCTTTAGTGGTTGCTTAATTGCACGTTTTTTGAAAGAAGACAGTGGTGTTACATTTCCCTCAGCACCAGTGTCTATTTTGCAACGTAATGTTGAAGTAGAGTTCCCAACTTTAACTTCAATGTCAGTAAATGGCTTGACTGGGGACTACATATATAGAGTCAAAGTATACACTGCTACTGTCACTTTCATTTGCTACTGAATGCACAGTTTTACTATGGGTCGGTGCATTTATTGTTTTTGTTCTACATACCTTTTTCCAGTGATCTGGCTTGCCACATTTGAGACAAATTGTGTCTTTAGCTGGGCACTGTTGAAAACCATGTTCATTTCCACACTTACCACATTCTTGCAGTGGTGGTCGTGAGCGTTGTTTGCTTTTTGACTTAGACTGAGTTTGCTGGCGAGGAGTGCGATGTTGTGGCTGTCTGTAACGCGGTCTCCCTCTTTGACTGTTGCCACTTGGTCGTAGTGCATGAATTTCCTTTGCTGATGTACTGTGAAGATCCTCAATCTGTTTCTTAGTTGCTTCCTCTGTTCGTGCAATGACAAGAGACTGATCTAGTGTCAAATTTTCCTCTCTTTGTAATAATTTCGCCTGAATTCGCTCTGAGTTAGTGCCAAAAATAGGAGTGTCAATTATGTGTTGTTCAACATCGGTATATTTGCATCCATTTGCCACGAGTCTGATTCGTCTGACAAAAGAATCAATGCTCTCACCTGCTTCTTGTCTGCATGCTCTAAGTTTAAATCTCCTGCAACTTGCCACCAAATTCTGCCAATCTTGCTTTGGGAGCCGGTTCCCTTCTTCAGTTACTGCATGCTGGACCTCTCTAATGTTTCTAACTGGAGTTTGTCTCTCATTTACTGCCCTGTCAATCATATCCTAAGCATGTTCTATTACATTGAGAATTGATAAATATGCAAGCCAATCCAAATGTGGGATACCGCGCTGTTGCAGCGCGTCTTGCACGGACCATGCTTTCTGGATGGGCGCATTGTCCTGCACCAAAATGGTTTTTCTTTCTGGATTTGCTTGAATGTGTGATTGTATGCACCCCAATGGTATTTCGTCTCTGTATTGTTGACCAGGGCACCTCCCTTGAATGACGTACGGTGGCAATTTTTCATTGTTTGGCTGATATGAACTGGTCCTGGTGGCATAATCGAACCAGATATCTTCATCTCTTGCGTCGGTTAATATTGGTCTACCAGAAAGAGGCTTGTCCAATACATAACGAGTTTGGCGCCATTTTGCTACCAGCTTGGACACTTGACTTGGTGCTGCTTTTTTGTTGCCTTGCAATCTGTCTCTTTGGCACCCCAGCACGATGACTTCCTATTATTTGCCATCTGATTACCTCGTTGAGTCCTCTTCACACCATTGGTTGGTCCAAAATAACAAATTGTGCCCATGAAACTAGCCAAACTGGCGCTCCTCGTGGCATGGCCAAACTGTGTTTTTCGCAAGTGGCACCCCCATTGCATATTCTATCGTGTCCAACAGTAAATAGTACTCTAATGTCACGGTCCAGTAAGTCAAAGTAAAAACAAAAGAAATATCTAGCTACTGTACAAATTTTGCCTCAATAAAAATTTTGGTTGCTGAGAAATTTGAGAAATAAGAAAGTGTTGCTTAACTTATGAGCATCAGTGTACAAATTTTACATAATTGTTTACATATTTTCTTTCATTTCAGTTATCTTGACATCCCAGCTGGGAATTCTCCAACAGGGGGCAGCCGAAGATACAGGACAAGACAAAACTATGGCAACACAACAACAACAGCAACGACAAGATCTGTCCACGGACTTCTCTGTTCTAGCTGGAATAAACAATGAGTTTGCAACAGACATTTATCAGTTGCTTTCTAAGGATGCTCCCAGCAATGCAAATATCTTCATATCACCTTTCAGCATCCTTAGCGCCATGGCGATGACTTATGCTGGCAGTCGTAACGAGACCAAACTCCAAATGGACAGAGTCTTACGATTTGGCAAATACAGTGGGGAGGATCTTCACAGCTCCTTTCAGACTCTAAATTCAGCATTGTTTGGAAAGAAAGATAATTGCACCTTAGAGTGTGCCAACAAGCTATTTGCCCGGAAAGGATATAATTTCTTACAGGACTATTTGGCACTGACGAGATCTTTCTATGGGGCTGAACTTGAAGTGAAGGATTTTGATGCCAAACCAGAGGAGGCTCGTCTTGAAATCAACCAGTGGGTGGAAGAGCAGACAGCTCAGAAAATAAAGAACCTGCTGCCAGAGGGCGCTATAAATTCTTTGGTTGCCATGGTTCTCGTCAATGCAGTTTATTTCAAGGGAAACTGGGCCAGTCAATTTGATCCAAAGCAAACCCAGAAAGCACCATTTCAGCTGACCTCAACAAATAAGATAAAAGTCGATATGATGTACCAAGAAAGTGAATTTCCACTTGGATATAGCACGGAGCTTGAGTGCCAAATCCTGGAGATTCCATATGTCGGAAAGAACTTGAGCATGCTGATCTATCTCCCAGACAAGATTGATGGTCTGAAAGACTTGGAATCCAAGATGACTTCGAGCCTCCTAGAGACCACCGCCAGAGATCTTTTTCCAGATACAGTAATGGTAAAATTGCCCAAGTTTAAGCTCACAGAAGAGTATCGCCTCCATGAAAAGTTGGGCCAGATGGGAATGCCAGACTTGTTCACAGAAGGCGTGGCTGATTTATCTGGAATGGATGGCACCAGAATGTTGTTTTTATCCCAGGTGCATCATAAGGCTTTTATTGATGTCAACGAGGAAGGAACAGAGGCGGCGGCGGCGGCAACAACAGTAACAAATGATTTTGCAATGCCAAGGGACATAACCTTTGTTGCTGATCACCCATTTTTGTTTTTCATCCGTGATAATATATCGGGCGCTGTGTTGTTTATGGGCAGGTTACAGATGCCTGCTGGTCCCTCTGTGAAGGATGAACTGTAGCAAGGTCACTTATTGCTGTTGAACTTTGGTTTTGCATGTACCTGTAACTCTGATGACAAAATGAGATTCAAAACAGTGGACTTACATTTTTTGCTGATTGTAAAATTTTGATAGATAACTGCTGGATGGATTCATTCTTTCATTTGCATCATGATTGTTAATTTCATTGCTCTTGTTACAATTAATTATACCAGTGATTTAATGTTGTGAAAGATTATATCAAAAAATACATAATTATCAGTGGTAGGATAGCTTTATTCTACAGTACATACTTGTGTACCAGATAGCATACTACTGGGCAGTAATTAAATGTATAGATTAAAGATCTAATTTTTGCCGATGACTGTAAACAAGTGATGTTTGCTTTATTATTTTCTGTTTACCTTGGGCCAGATAATACGGTTATTTCAGGACTTTATTACTGTACTCTGGTATTGTATTGTTATGTGCTGGTTCACTGCATACTGAATTGAATCACTCTTTTTCTGAAAAATGATATATATACTAGTAGATGTAGGTTGACTTAATGAAAAAAAATCAGTTTTAGAGACAAATCATTTTTGCCTAGTGTATTCAGATTTTTAGACTTAATTCATATACACTGTAAAATACGGATTCATATTTATTCAGACCTATTCAGATTTCTCGAGAGAAAAGTGGAGTACGTAGGCACGTGGACAATCACTCGTGTCTCACCTAACACATCACACTTGTCTCACCGAACACAGGATGATTGTGTTCTTCTGCGTGTTCAGGGTGGTGGAATATCCGTCATAGTATGGTGCGGTTTCTCATACGATGAAAACTTGCCACTGTACGTCATTCAAGGGAGGTACCCTGGTCAACAATACAGAGACGAAATACCATTGGGGCGCATACAATTACACATTCAATCACATTCAGAAAGAAAAATAATTTTGGTGCAGGACAATGCGCCCATCCAGAAAGCACAGTCCGTGCAAGACGAGCTGCAACAGCACGGTATCCCACATTTGGATTGGCCTGCATATTTACCAATTCTCAATGTAATCGAACATACTTAGGATATGATTGACAGGGCAGTAAATGAGGGACAACCTCCAGTTAGAAACATTAAAGAGGTCCAGCAGGCAGTAAATGAAGAATGGAATCGGCTCCCAAAGCAAGAGTTGCAGAATTTGGTGGTGGCAAGTTGCAGGAGACAATGAAAAGCTGTTGTTCAAAACCAGGGAAGGCACACCCTATATTTATTGCATAATAGACGATTAATCTTCTATTATCTACAGTCTTCTTTTATTAAAACTAATTCTTAGATGATTGAACTTTATTTTTTCATAATAAGCTGTTTTAATCAGCACGTACTTTTTTTACTGTGTGAGCATACTTTTTTTGACACATTGTTTGGCATATTTTAGTAACGTTTGGTTAATAAAGTTATTTTGATTATTACAATAAGCTATGTGGTTTATTTCTTTAACCGAAATATTCAACTTGAATAAGTTATTTATAAAATATGAGAAAAATATGCATAATCCCACCAACAAATGAAATGATGATCATGATAAAAGAAACTTTTGAAAAAAAAACGGGGTGTTGCTTAACTTATGAGCATCAGTGTAACTACCGGTGTGAACGGAATGCAGGTCCGCCTGGAACCGAGGTCCTACGGACCACCCTTCCTTAGTATTAGTAGTCCTAATGGGACCTGCATTCCTGTTATAAATAGGGATAGGACTTCTATTCCTGGCGGACCTGCATTCCGTTTACAGCGAAATGGAGGTCCGCCCTATTTTTATGTCCGTCCCTTTATATTACTACTAGGTAAAGGCCAGTGACATTAATAGTATGCTTTAGTGAGCATATATAATTACTCCGTAAAAGCGCCAAATTGCCGGTTCGTCTCTCTGGCGTAGTGGTTAGGCAGTGTAACAATATGAATCTAGAACAGTATCTTAAATTAATATGATGGTATAGTTCGAATCCCTATAAAACTGAAATTGCGTTTTTAACTTTTGTGTGATTTTTATGTCTTTGTCATGTTTGCTGGTCATTTTACTTTGCCACGTCGGATAATTTTGATTGGTTACAGATGTCACGCGCTTTCTTGCACTACTATAAATACAGCACCGACCCAGAGTAATTCGAAGAACTGGCAAGTCGAATTATAAATAAGCTTTCATTTACAGTTACTTTTCATAATGTTCAAAATACACGCACTTTTCGTTTACAGAGGCCATATTAGCTTACACACAGATATACATTTCCAAGACTGTAAGTCCGTCAGACCTATGCTCCTGGAATAAGTGTCCGGAGGACTAAGATTTCTGGGGCCGGTTTCACAAAGCAGTAGATAGTTAGCGATCGGTAGTTAGCCTATCGCTAGTTAGAGTGCCGTTTCACGAAGCAATCGCTAGTTCTCTCGCTCGTTATTGTCTCGTTGTTGCCTTGGATATTTAACGACTGGTCAGACCAGTCACTAACTCGAGTTTCATCGTACGCATGCGTAATGAGTGAAATAAAAAGGTTGCTTAGTTACCATTGTCTGTCGTTTGTCTTTGTATCCAATATGGCGGCTACCTTTCTTGCTATCCGTACCGCCAGACGGCAACGTAGACTACGACGTTTTCATGAAAGGCAGAATCTATTAGAATATACACACGATGATCAATTTACGAGAGGTTGCGCCTAGCTGTGACAAAAAGAGCGGCAAAAAGGTGGTGGAGATCCTTTACGACGACCTCAAAGCAGACGTTCTTATGCATTTCCAGCCACCAAAAATTGGAGAGTTAGTGCTTTCGTGACACTTTTACGCAAGAATTCCACTTCCGGCAGACGGTTTCGAGAGTACGGTGAGTAACGAGAGAACTAACGACCGAACTTTACGACTGAACATAGCGATGAGTTAAGGACTGCTTCGTGAAACACCCCTCGAAAATCGCTAAGTTTGCTCGTTAGCGAGGTAGTTCAGTAGTTAGTTTTTCTAACTAACTACTGCTTTGTGAAACCGGCCCCTGGTATCTTAGGTCCGGAGGATTACAAGTTCTGAGATTTTACGTCCTGGGGACTACAAATTCTGAGATTTTAGGTCGGGGGGACTACTATCTCTAGCATTTTTGGTCCGAGGACAAATACTTATTATTGCTTTTCTCCGTCAAACTTCACTTACAGAAGAAAAGGTCTGTCATTAATTTAAATTTATGAATATATATAATATTGTAATGATTATTTCAGATTGAACATGGCAAGCTATTTTATAAAGTTAATAAGAGGAAAGTGAAGGACGTCTCGGATGATGGACAATGCAGTAGTGATGATAGTCATGATGATGAACTTTGGCGAATAGTCGTTCAGTTAAAATTTGAAATAGTAAGTTTATTTAACACTGATTTCATTTACGTGGACGGTTTTTTCAATTTGTTTTAATTGACCTTTTTTTAAAAATATGACTCGTGATAGACATAATAAATTCAGTTCGGTGTTTTGATTTACATGTAGTTATCTCCGCTCACAGCTTATATCTACAGGTATATCATAACGGTAAATACCTGGCATCTATTATTATTCAAATTTATTTCGTTTTCATTTCGCCAAAAGGTCTGTTACTCTGATAGCATGTTTGTTACCAACCAAAATCAAAAAGTTGTGATTGGATTTTGAGTAGAAGTTAAGGTCAGGTTAGAAATGTGCTTCCCTAACAGTAATTAGATATTGGCGATGATGCTTTTATTAGTATATGTTTAGTTATTAGTAAAAGCACATGGGACGCATGCTTACTGATGACGAACATCAAGAGCTGAAACATGAATGTAAACAGTAAGTGTTTTTATCATTTTTTATTTATTTTATTTTCTCAATAATGTTCTGCGGTAAATCAAAGATTTTAACCGGCCACTAATCGTTTCTGCCAAATACATGTACTTGTATGTCAAAGAGCTTTAACGCTTAAATACCATTTAAACAAAAGTTTCATAAAAAAAGTCATTATATGCTTCGGATCAATAATTTGTAGAAATGACGTCTCCCATAGTCAATTATTGTACTCGTAGGGGAGACCGGTGCTAGTTGGACCCCGGGGTAAGTTGGCCCCCCATCAAGTCTCTTTAATTAAATTACTTTAAGATGCTAAATTATTTCATTTGGACTCACTGCTGACGCTTTCTTAGCACTATTGGATACGGTCACTTTACAAAGTGATGTGATCAATTATTTTACCCCATAATTACTTTGTCATAAATTGATGGGGGGCCCACTTACCCAACTAGCCCCGGTCTCCCCTATATATATTATTTATCGGTACACGTGTTTCGATTGACCTGATTTTCAAGATAACGATTTTCAAGATAATTTTTATTCATCGAAGACCATGATTGTATAAGTGACACAAATAAAAACAATAAATGTATTTATAAAGATGCCACATAGTGTTTAGAATGACCCCTGACTCGATAGTATAGTGGTATTTATCCCCGCCTATCACGCGAGAGACCGGGGTTCAATTCCCCTTCTGGGCGGATGCATGTATCTTTTGTTTTTTTATTATTTATTTCATACATTAAAAAAATTATTAATTTATTAATATATTTATTAATTTACGTGTACATCTTTCTTACAATGTATACATGTCCTTTGCTGCATATCAGCTGTGACGTGCAGTTTTCCACTGAACTGTCTCACCTAACACAATTGTCTCGTCCCAACCACCGCACTTTCGAAACGCTTCTCAAGCAGGGGCCTGTTTCACCAAGCACAATAAGTGGCCTGCGTCTTAAGTTCAAAGGGGTTAATAACTGTTCGTTTTGGCCAAAAAATAAATTTTGCTTGAGTAAACAACAATTTTCCCATACTTACCAATGGTTAACGAATCCATATCTACATTCAAAGTTAGTCCCTGTTTTTTTTTTTCTAAAAAGTTTGGTTTTATGATATAATCTCTTAAGAGAGGAACACTGACCACGTATCAATCAGGACAAAACCTGAACAACAACTGAACATTAAATGAAAGCTAGGACTCTTTATAATAATTGTTAAATCTACGAACAGTTTTTTCTGCACCCCTCCCAATATGTTCACCTTTATGAGTAGAGGTGGGCAACTTTGGCTTACTCGATTTTTGGATTTTTGAGTACCTTATAGCTTACAATAGAGTGTGTCAACAACGAAAACAGCATTTCTTTTGCTTTTTTGGGGCAACTTCGACTTACAATAGAGTGTGTCAACAATGAAAACAGCATTTCTTTTGTTTTTTGGGGGGCAACTTCGACTTACAATAGAGTGTGTCAACAATGAAAACAGCATTTTGTTTGTTTTTTTGGGGCAACTTCGACTTACAACAGAGTTTGTCAACGATGAAGACAGCATTTCTTTTGTATTTTTGGGCAACTTCGACTTACAATAGAGTGTGCTTCGCCTCGCCAATTATCTGCTCTATTTCTCGTAAAGCTCAGCGCCTCGTACTTTATCTATAACTTAGACCGCATTCACAACGATTTGAGCCAGGCTTTACAAATCCTGGGGACTAAATATGGCGGACGTACATGAAAGGAAAAACGCCTAATCTTTTAATAGTCTCTCCGCCTCTCACACGCCTCCCCACACGTCGTCCCTGCGGGATACAGTCATTAAATCTCGGCTCCGTTCGCCATGCGGAAGCTACCTGAGAAATATTAAGTGCGCATGCTCATCAATTAAACTCGAGGTGAAGAAAGCATGGCGGCTGGGGGCGATCGAAGGAAAAAAGAAAAAAAACCTCTTCTGTTCTATTATCTCTCAAAACAGAGACGAAAAAGAAATGAGTTGGCCCGTAGAGCAGCAATGAATCGGCTTTCTACGGAGATGATGTCACCAGAGATACCCAGCCCCAGTAGACGAAGAAGGAGGAGGGCAGAATTTTTGCGTATGCAGTCTCGTCAGAGGGCGCAGTTCGTTCTGATGCTGATGTTTGCCTTGTTCCCTACGCCTGATCGAACTGGAAGGGGGGGGGGGGTGTTTTCACGATTTTGATCCCGATTCATAGCTGCTCTACGGGCCAATTTATTTCTTTTTCTCAGGTAGCTTCCACATGGCGAACGGAGCCGAGATTTAATGACTGTACCCCGCAGGGACGACGTGTGGGGAGGCATGTGAGAGGCGGAGAGACTATTAAAAGATTAGGCGTTTTTCCTTTCATGTACGTCCGCCATATTTAGTCCCCAGGATTTGTAAAGCCTGGCTCAAATCGTTGTGAGTGCGGTCTTAGTTGACTAGGATTTCCAAGAGAGTGCTGTTACATTGTTCCTGAAAGGGTAAGATATGCCCATGTGACCATGTTATCTTGGTAGTTAAGTTCTTAGCCAGGGAACCTGGCCCCAGTTTCACAAAAAAATTTAAGTCAGTTCCCTGGTTTAGTTGACTAGTATTTCCATAAGAGTGATGTAACACTGCTCCTGACAGGGTGAGATGTGCCCATGTGACCTTGTAACCTTGGTAATTAAGTTCTTAGCCAGGGAACCTGACTTAAGTTTTTTTTTTTTTTTTTTTGTGAAACTGGGGCCTGACTTGAGTTAATCTAATAAGCTTTAGTGACAGCTGTGGATTGAGACATGTATCAACCTCATACTGGGTGTACATGACTTACAGGAGAAACTGTACTAAGATCACCAATTTGGATAACTCAAAATGTAGGGCTGGCATCATAGTCTTGAAAATTACCGTCCAGCTTCTAGAACCCGCTCGAAGACGGTGTGGATCTGCATGCGCCTGCTACGTACCGGTAGTTCATTCCAACTTAGGGACTCTCGCTGAGTGCAATTAGATTAACAAGTTAAAACACCTCTACTTAACGCCAGGAGGAGGCGTTGTAATCTTGAATGGTTCATCATGCTACGAATATTAAATAAGATATAAAGGAAACGTTTTTACACTAAAAGAGCAGAACAGACCATGCGTGAGGCCGTAGGCCACACTTCGTGATGTAGTAGGCCACAATTTACTACGTTCACTATACGCGTTCATCGTCGAGCCGAAACTCTGGATGAGGTGATCTACGGTACTGTGCATGAGTACGCCACCTTGCCACCGTTCTTCTATATATTGAGTGACACATTTGCAGTGATTGAAACGAGGCTTGCGGGTGTGCGTGTTTATATACAAACAGACAAAAGTTAAGCCATTTTTTGGATGTACATGGATTTGTATTATGAAAAACGTAAATAAATCTGAATGGTCAATATTCATTACACGGATGTTCCAAAGAATAAATGTCAATTTTATGTACAGGTTCAACCTTTGCGATGGCGCTCTTACGGTAGCCAACAAGGTGGAAATGCTTTACTAGCACAAAAGTGTTCTTTGTGAAATGAAATTTGAGGTGACGATATTGATTTCACCGGTGAGGTCAAAGCTTTTAGCGCACTATTCAAACTCTTCAACACCAGAAATACTGCATTTATTTTGCCTCAAGCACCGATACTGTTTTTAATTATGGTATATATTTTGTATTTAATTATGTAAATTTGATAACGTGTTGATATAGTTTAAAACGGGGTTATGTCTGATAGTTTGGAAGAGCAAAAAACGCACAGTGCACGTAGTGTCATGGAATAATGAAGCTACAAAACAGCAATGAGGGTGGGGGCAGCGTTTTACACGGCTTTAAACGTGATAGTTAATTCTACCAACATCATTCCATTTCTTATCTAAACGGTAACATTTGAAAAAAAGTTTACACAGGGCACAGCCAAGATAATCTTCGTTTTATTCTTTCAAGCAAAATTGAATATTCATGACCCCACATTTTGTTTATTAAAGCCTTTACTGTATTAAAATTGGCGTACAAATCACTCAATTAACGATTTATTTGGTTCATAACTATCATACCCCCCCCCCTTAAAAGATAAACTGAAGTTAGATATCCACGTTACCAGTACACGAAATTCAATGCTGCCCAGTACATTAGTGTGTCTTGTTACATATTTTTTCATTCCATTAATCTTGCAATACATCACCCCGTCCATCTAATTCCAGATACACAGGTACATTTATGTCAAAGCAATCCCATGATATTTATTAGCCATCTAGATCTGCTTGTCCTTACCAGTAGAATGTTACGTTTTAATTACAGTTTATAAGTTCAAACACTGAAAACTTCCTCCGGGTCAGTTTTAAAACATTTCTGACACCAAAAATTACTTTCTTTTCTTCACGATGATCTTCTGAGGTTTAGGTATACAGGTAAATTCTGACATTGCAGGCTCGAAGTCTGGTTTTTGTCCGTGTGGGAAGCTCACCTCAAACCGACTGAAAAACAATGCCTGTAAAGAAAATGTACTTAAGAATTGAAAAATAAAATAATAAAATTAATATACAAACATTACTGCAATGTATAACTTAGAATGTAGTTAGTGCCTGCAAAATGAAATATAGGTATATGTTCAAACATTCATGAACCTATGGGTAAATTAAATCCACTAATATAAATAGTGTTTCAAAACGTCACCGCTATGATTACAAAACATTATGAATAATAATCTTAATTTCAATGTTATATATTTTTTCTGTGCCATTATAAACACAATATATATATAATACTATTGTCTTCTTTTCCACCCACCGAAATCATCATAAGGTTTGCCCTGGCAACTGATTCTCCCACACATTTCCTCTTGCCACTGCTGAACGGAATCCATATTTTGTTGTCAACCTCTTTTAAGCTTCCGTCACTGTTAATAAACCTCTCTGGCTTGAAAATTTCCGGCGACTCCCAGTTTTTCGGGTCATGATGGATTGCCATAATGTTTGCATACAGCACAGTGCCTTTGGGGATATCGTACGCACCTACATGTAGATGGGAATTGACATTTATAGACAATATCAAAAATTGGATCCCAGGGATATAAGCTACATGCACATGTGAATGGTTGGACGTTCTCCTCATATAACAGTTAAACACATGCTAATAGTACACGTACTTTATATTTAATACAAAAGGTGTCGCGATCGAGCAACATTCAATTAAAGGATGTAAGTAACAGGAATAGTAATTCAGCTGAAAACGAAGCTGCTTTCGTGCTTTTGTTTTGTTCGACCATAACGTACAGTGTTTAAGCAGCATGTTTATTAACATTTTTTTTGCATTTAATTTGGGATCATAGAGGGATTATGTCTGACCTAGTTTGGTGTCACTGAGTGCTTGATGACCTACACCTACTGGAGCAACAGGACGCATGCGCAAAACCTCTCGCTGAACAGCCTCGCTGTAAGGCAATTTATGTCTGCAGTGACGAAGTCCACTGATGTCGTCCCCTGAAAAGGGATAAGTGAAAGCATCTTTACATGATTATTATCATTTTTACATGATGCAATAATTGAATCAAATATATTCACGGCAATATTTAAGAGTCCATAAAATAGACAACATTTTCTAGATTTCTGAAATTATAGGCCTACATGTAATTGCCAATTATTTGCATTCATATATTTATATAAATCTACAAAAGAGTAAAAATTGAACTGTTTATACCTAAGGCGTCTAACTCCTTGTGTAGTTTTGTCTGAACCTCCGGATTATCGGCTACATACATAATCATCCACTTCAACGTGTCAACCGTGGTCTGCGTTCCACCTAATATATATATATATATATATATATATATATATATATATATATATATATATATATATATATATATATATGGGTGTGTCCGTGAAACTCAGAGTCGGGGTTATTAAATGTCTCTTGTTTATTTATTTATTTATTTATTTATTTATTTATTTATTTATTTATTCTAATTATACAGTATATACAGTATATGTATCTGCAGATAGATAGATAGATAGATAGATAGATAGATAAGTTGATAGATAGATGAATTATTGTTTCTATATAGAGCGTACATACTTTATACAGTAACAAATAAAATCTTAGAGGAATAATACATCGCACATGTATCAAATGAGTAACTGGAATGATCAAGTCACTATACCAAAGAATATATCCAATAGGGTGTGGCGTATGCGAGTGTCAGTAAGAGACTCTTTTGCGTTGTCATCACTCTCGGCTCCCAGTTCTTCCTTCAGTATCAGAATTTGATCCATAATATCTCTAAGGTTACCTTTGAAATAAAATGTCGTAATCTAAGCACAAATCACTACTAAACGAATCATTGATATGCTTCTTGTATATTTACAAATGAAATGTTTATGGTGTGAAATGTAAATAAACTACCGGTACATGTACGAACCCGAGTTCAATGTTGTCTTATGCTCTGCCAGTTTGACATTTTGGAAGTCGGTCAGTTTCTTTATGAGTCGTTTCACCGAGAGGGATGAAGGGATAGGAACATGCTTCAAGACGGGAATAACGTCAGAGGGAATGATACTTCCAAATACCGTTGCCATGGTTTTGTCCACGGTGCCCTTCAACAATACGAACTCCGGTTCGTCAATTTTGTAACTAAAAGGATTAGATCAAACAGTAACCAGGTAAAAATAAGTAATAAAATATTTCCAGTTATAAACAAACACGATATCATGTACATGTACGCATTATATGTATATTGATCGTTATATAGTCTTCGGGCAAATACGCCCGTTTTGACGCCCTATTCAGAACATGTTTAATCAAGGTGTAGCGATGGAAAGGTTTGAAAGTGGTTTCGTTTTTTTTTTTAAATATAAATCAACTTATTTACGTTTTGTTGCTGTATTAACCCATTCATTTATTCTATTTTTATTTATTTAATTATTATGTTTTCAACGAAATGTTGAAATAAGGCTTTGTATCTTTTAAAATAATAAAAAATATAAGAGTTTTATAATTATGTTTGTCACATGATCCCCAACAACTACTGATAAACGAAAGGTCATATTCGGAATGGTAAAAAAAGAAAAAGATGTAGAAAATGTTGAAAGTGCCATAAAACAACTGGGTTTTTGCCAAGTTATTTTAGTAATTAAGGTTTGTAATTTTATTTGTTATATCTGTTAAGATTAAAAATTATCTACTAATCATTTATCAGGTGTGCTTCTTATATGTTATCAAAACGAAATAAAATTTTATCTTAATTTACCCATTCATCTACAACAAATATTTTAAATCTTCATTGGATTAAAAACTGATTGATTCCTATGATTGAAAGGTCGAAAATCAATTAATGTTTACATGATGATATTGGATGAATATAATGAATAAAAAAGGGCTCTGCATGTAAGCTGAAGTCATGTTTTTGGCTGTAGCAATGGTTATTCCATATCCCTTCGATTGGGGAGTAAAGTTTCGTTCATTTTCATATATTCATTGTTAAAACAAGAAACCACCGGTCTGTTCTGCAGAAGATTATTCCCAAATGTTATGGCACCTACCTCTTTCCGTAAGCCATCCCGCACGAAAATGCAGTAGTATCGAAGTAGCAAAAAAGCATTAACGCAGTAGTGGTGTGGAGCATATTTGCAGTAGAAATGCAGCATAGCCTACTGCAATTCTACTCCAAAAAGTACATAGGTTTGTACAGAGAGGAGCATTAATGCAGTAGATTAGCAGCATGATAGAAGCATGTTTCAAATATGCTAATTAGTTCCCAAATTGAAGCAGATTTGAAGCATGTTTGCAGTATGAATACAGTAGTCTACTGCGGTTTGCAGTATGATTGCAGTAGTCTACTGCGCTGGAGTATCTACTGCGTTTTCTTGCGGGATTCTGCAGACGATATTGAAGATAAGTAACTGAAAGTGAGGATCTATGTCAAAAGGCTCAGTCTCCTTTTCAATCAAGGTGGCCACTTCATCAAAAGAGGACCTCACGAATGTTTCCAATTTATCACTCGCTACGTAGGCCCTGTAAGATAAAAAATATACCAACTCGGTTTCATCCCATTGTATTCTATATTTGCCATGATATATAGATTATAATGACCTTATGCAATATAATAAACTTCATTTGGTATATAAGGTAATTGGTATCTGCATTACCATTATGGAAATGAATCTCTCTCCCTCTCTCTCTCTCTCTCTCTCTCTCTCTCTCTATATATATATATATATATATATATATATATATATATAAGGTTGGCAGCGCAAAAAGTATATTGAAAATGAAATAAATAAAAATAAAAGATAATGAAAAAAATAACATCAACAATATCTTTCCAGGAATGACATTTTTTCAGCACTTTTCCATTTTTACTAATGGAAAGTGGAAAGATAAATATTTTAATTGAGGAGAAAAACACTTGTACATATAATGACTTTTGAGTTTAAGCTTAGAATGGACATGAACTAGTTAAGTTAGCCATGGAAATATTCTACCTTAATGATACAACATCGTTACATGTTTGCAAGTTTATTGTTAAAACAAAGCACACAACGAATTTCGTTTACTATCATATATTTTGGGGATACACAAGATTTAAAAAGTGTGCTAGTAGTTACAAAGTAGAGCAATTAGTAAAGCAGATATTGATTCCAGTATATTTCTGCTTCTATGGACTTCTCTTATTATACCGATGCATTCATTTAAGACTAGAAATAAAACATGTTGGTTCAAACAAGGGTATCTGTGATGTGCATACAAAGGGAGCCTTATTTGGAACCCTATTCAACTGAACAATATATATACAGGTATCAATTGAATTATAGTACCTGGATGCCTTCAGAGTAGGTCCTGAGTGATAAAACTATATCAAAGAGAACCCTGCGACCCATGGCTCGTTTATTTCCAACTGGAAATATTTAATTTAAGTGAGTTAAAGTCTGTTAAATATATTATTCAACTGAGTTATATGAGTAACTAATAATTCGATCGAATTACCTGAAAGCCTTCAAAACCATCTGTCTCTGTAGTCTCCACACTGGACCGTAGTCACTGAAAAGTATATCTCTGTTGCCTCCGCTGAATACTTTGACTGTCAAAAAAGTATGATAGCAATTTGATTAAATTAAAAAAGGTGTATTGAAAGCATTATCTCCCACCTCCTCACAATACTGCAAACTCCCCACATGTACAGGTTGTACTATTGTATGGACAGTTTTGAATGCGCGTACAGTTAATTTTTTTAAAGCCCAGTATGCAGATGCTTCTGAATGGCCAAGTTTGTATAGACTTTGCCCCCATGAACATGATATTTCAGCTTGCCCTAATATAACTGATACCTACATTTCCAAGTTAGAGTTTCCCTTCCTGCAAATATCTCCTTCTTTTCAACGAAAGCCTCGTGTACAATATCCGCAGATTTCAGGACCACGACATTGTGCCAAAAGCCTGTAATTGTCAAGCATATGTACACACACTGGACAAAAGAAGTGTCACCCCTACTGAGCCAATACTATGGGGGAGATAAATGACTGTGGAATGATATGCTCCTGGTATCATTTTATTAACATCAAATTTCACAAAAAATCACAAAATGAGAACAAAATATACATTCTACCAAAACATGTAGTTTCAAGTCCAAAATTAGTACTTAGTGGCATAGCCACGTGACCTAATAATAGGTGCCAGTCTACGAAGCAAGGATTCATTTAATTGTCTGATGCGTTCAGGGCTTATGCTGGCCCAAGCATGAAACACTGAATATAACAGAGTTTCTCTGCTGGTTAGACGGGCATTTGTAAAAAGTTTTGACATATCATTCCGCACATTTTCTATTATGTTTGTATCCGGACTCTGGGCAGGCCACATCACCCTGCGAATGTCCTGTTGGTCAAACCNTTCATGATGCAATAATTGAATCAAATATATCCACGGCAATATTTAAGAGTCCATAAAATAGACAACATTTTCTAGATTTCTGAAATTATTATATAAGCCTACATGTAATTGCCAATTATTTGCATTCATACATTTATATAAATCTACAAAAGAGTAAAAATTGAACTGTTTATACCTAAGGCGTCTAACTCCTTGTGTAGTTTTGTCTGAACCTCCGGATAATCGGCTACATACATAATCATCCACTTCAACGTGTCAACCGTGGTCTGCGTTCCACCTAATATATATATATATATATATATATATATATATATATATATATATATATATATATATATATATATATATATATATATATATGGGTGTGCCCGTGAAACTCAGAGTCGGGGTTATTAAATGTCTCTTGTTTATTTATTTATCTATTTATTTATTTATTCTAATTATACAGTATATACAGTATATATATCTGCAGATAGATAGATAGATAGATAGATAAGTAGATAGATAGATGAATTATTGTTTCTATATAGAGCGTACATACTTTATACAGTAACAAATAAAATCTTAGAGGAATAATACATCGCACATGTATCAAATGAGTAACTGGAATGATCAAGTCACTATACCAAAGAATATATCCAATAGGGTGTGGCGTATGCGAGTGTCAGTAAGCGACTCTTTTGCGTTGTCATCACTCTCGGCTCCCATTTCTTCCTTCAGTATCAAAATTTGATCCATAATATCTCTAAGGTTACCTTTGAAATAAAATGTCGTAATCTAAGCACAAAGCACTACTAAACGAATCATTGATATGCTTCTTGTATATTTACAAATGAAATGTTTATGGTGTGAAATGTAAATAAACTACCGGTACATGTACGAACCCGAGTTCAATGTTGTCTTATGCTCTGCCAGTTTGACATTTTGGAAGTCGGTCAGTTTCTTTATGAGTCGTTTCACCGAGAGGGATGAAGGGATAGGAACATGCTTCAAGACGGGAATAACGTCAGAGGGAATGATACTTCCAAATACCGTTGCCATGGTTTTGTCCACGGTGCCCTTCAACCATACGAACTCCGGTTCGTCAATTTTGTAACTACAAGGATTAGATCAAACAGTAACCAGGTATAAATAAGTAATAAAATATTTGTACATATATCCTTCTATTTCCAGTTATAAACAATCACGATATCATGTACATGTACGCATTATATGTATATTGATCGTTATAGTCTTCGGGCAAATATGCCCTCATTGGTTTTGACGCCCTATTCAGAACATGTTTAATCAAGGTGTAGCGATGGAAAGGTTTGAAAGTGGTTTCGTTTTTTTTTTTAAATATAAATCAACTTATTTACGTTTTGTTGCTGTATTAACCCATTCATTTATTCTATTTTTATTTATTTAATTATTATTGTTTCAACAAAATGTTGAAATAAGGCTTTGTATCTTTAAAAATAATAAGAAATATAAGAGTTTTATAATTATGTTTGTCACATGATCCCCAACAACTACTGATAAACGAAAGGTCATATTTGGAATGGTAAAAAAAGAAAAAGATGTAGAAAATGTTGAAAGTACCATAAAACAACTGGGTTTTTGCCAAGTTATTTTAGTAATTAAGGTTTGTAATTTTATTTGTTATATCTGTTAAGAATAAAAAGTATATACTAATCATTTATCAGGTGTGCTTCTTATATGTTATCAAAACGAAATAAAATTTTATCTTAATTTACCCATTCATCTACAACAAATATTTTAAATCTTCATTGGATTAAAAACTGATTGATTCCTATGATTGAAAGGTCGAAAATCAATTAATGTTTACATGATGATATTGGATGAATATAATGAATAAAAAAGGGCTCTGCATGTAAGCTGAAGTCATGTTTTTGGCTGTAGCAATGGTTATTCCATATTCCTTCGATTGGGGAGTAAAGTTTCGTTTATTTTCATATATTCATTGTTAAAACAAGAAACCACCGGTCTGTTCTGCAGAAGATTATTCCCAAATCTTATGGAACCTACCTTCTCCCGTAAGCCATTCTGCAGACGATATTGAAGATAAGTAACTGAAAGTGAGGATCTATGTCAAAAGGCTCAGTCTCCTTTTCAATCAAGGTGGCCACTTCATCAAAAGAGGACCTCACGAATGTTTCCAATTTATCACTCGCTACGTAGGCCCTGTAAGATAAAAAAATATACCAACTCGGTTTCATCCCATTGTATTATTTCTATATTTGCCATGATATATAGATTATAATGACCTTATGCAATATAATAAAATTCATTTGGTATATAAGGTAATTGGTATCTGCATTACCATTATGGAAATGAATCTCTCTCTCTCTCTCTCTCTCTCTCTCTCTCTCTCTCTATATATATATATATATATATATATATAAGGTTGGCAGCGCAAAAAGTATATTGAAAATGAAATAAATAAAAATAAAAGATAATGAAAAAAATAACATCAACAATATCTTTCCAGGAATGTCATTTTTTCAGCACTGATCCATTTTTACTAATGGAAAGTGGAAAGATAAATATTTTAATTGAGGAGAAAAACACTTGTACATATAATGATTTTTGAGTTAAAGCTTAGAATGGACATGAACTAGTTAAGTAAGCCATGGAAATATTCTACCTAAATGATGCAACATCGTTACATGTTTGCAAGTTTATGGTAAAAATAAAGCACACAACGAATTTCGTTTACTATCATATATTTTGGGGATACACAATGATTTAAAAAGTGTGCTAGGAGTTACAAAGTAGAGCAATTAGTAAAGCAGATATTGATTCCAGTATATTTCTGCTTCTATGGACTTCTCTTATTATACCGATGCATTCATTTAAGACTAGAAATAAAACATGTTGGTTCAAACAAGGGTATCTGTGATGTGCATACAAAGGGAGCCTTATTTGGAACCCTATTCAACTGAACAATATATATACAGGTATCAATTGAATTATTGTACCTGGATGCCTTCAGAGTAGGTCCTGAGTAATAAAACTATATCAAAGAGAACCCTACGACCCATGGCTCGTTTATTTCCAACTGGAAATATTTAATTTAAGTGAGTTAAAGTCTGTTAAATATATTATTCAACTGAGTTATATGAGTAACTAATAATTCGATCAAATTACCTGAAAGCCTTCAAAACCATCTGTCGCTGTAGTCTCCACACTGGACCGTAGTCACTGAAAAGTATATCTCTGTTGCCTCCGCTGAATACTTTGACTGTCAAAAAAGTATGATAGCAATTTGATTAAATTAAAAAAGGTGTATTGAAAACATTATCTCCCACCTCCTCACAATACTGCAAACTCCCCACATGTACAGGTTGTACTATTGTATGGACAGTTTTGAATGCGCGTACAGTTAATTTTTTTAAAGCCCAGTATGCAGATGCTTCTGAATGGCCAAGTTTGTATAGACTTTGCCCCCATGAACATGATATTACAGCTTGCCCTAATATAACTGATACCTACATTTCCAAGTTAGATTTTCCCTCCCTGCAAATATCTCCTTCTTTTCAACAAAAGCCTCGTGTACAATATCCGCAGATTTCAGGACCACGACATTGTGCCAAAAACCTGTAAACGTCAAGCATATGTATACTACACATTGTTTATCGTGTTGATGTACAATAGAGCAGGTTTTTTTATGAACGAACTAATAAGGCATACATGTACCATCCCTATAATTTTATTTAAGTTTTATGTAAAAAAAAAAAAAAAAAAAAAAAAAACCTGCCGGAAAAGCTCACCTGAGCCGATCAAAGAATAAGCATTGAACTTTGCCTAACTGCTTAATTTTTGATGATACTACTGCGGAAAAAAGAGTTACAAGATTTTACCTAAATCAACGGTGAACAAGTCACTGAATGACTTCCCGAGCTCTGTAAATACGGAGTACAGTCGGCTATCTTTCCTAAATTCTGCAATAATTAATTAATAATTAAATATTAAATAAAATCATATTTAGATGTGGTATTTAACCAAAGTTATAAGTTATAACAAAATAGATTGCCTGTTTTCTAAAAAAACAGTTGAAAATGTAGCAAATTCAATTTTTAGAAAATCATTAACTTAGGGTGGGTGCCAAAAGGTTTTCAAGGAAGCTCTCACCAAAGTAACTCCCCAGTATCGGCAGCTGTGGCGGTCCTGGAGGCAGTTTGTACTTCTTCCTCTGCAGATATGAAATCACCAACAGGAATACCGCGATCCCGACCAAGGCGGTCTTCACAGTAAGTAAACTCAACAAAGTCAATACGTACATCTTTCCTGAAATATTTCTTTCGAATCATTGGATGATTTAAAATATTATAATGATAAATAATATAATGCTCATAATGAAAAAAAAATCAACTTCATATTTTATATTATTTTAAATACCTTATGTCTCAGCTTATGTTAGCACATTGGTCTCTGTTGAGGTTCACTTGTTCACACGTGATTGGAAATATATCTTCTTCAACATTTAAATACATCATTGAAAAGTTTGAGATATTTTATTCATTTATACAAACCCTACTTTACCCTCCTTGCTCACCGTTCCTTCCAGTACACGTCTCTCCTTTACAGCTTCCAACCACCTGTTTGCAGCGTCCCCCTAACTGCACTCCAGTATCATTCAACCCAGGTGTGGGGTCCTTGGCCTCCAGTCATTTAGATTACCTACACGTCAATACACACCAAGTTCGTTTGTAACATTTAAGTGTCGTTAAATGGGGTGATTATACTGAACTTATCCAAGACATTGCCTTTGAGCATGCATGCACTAGTTGGATCAAAATATGGGCCAATGCAGCCACGTCCAACGATGGGATTTTCAGATTGCCAAGTCAGGATCCTCGGTTTCAAGATAGTCAGATAAGCTACGAGTTTATCAATACAAAGTTTGTTTGCAACACTTTCGTGTCATTATATGGGCTGCTTACTCATCCAAGATATGGCCTCCGGGTAGGCGAGCTCTTGTTGGCTGGAAACATGTGGCCACGTATACAGATGGCACTTTCATGGTACAGTGTTTAATATATACATGTATATAGAGTAGAGAATTGCAGTATGCTTGTAAATAAATCATAATTTAATACTAACTTATCATTAAGAACCTTTTCAATATTTAGCTGTTGATTGAGGAAAAATTACTTTATTCTTATAACATAACACAGCTGATGAAGTTTTTCTCTGTGTTTTAACAATTAACTGAATAAAGTTAAATAACATAACATACAAACGCAGTGAAAAGATAAAAAGAAATAATTTACCTGGAAATGTGAATGGCGTGCTGAATTAATGAAGAAAAGTGAGCAGGTTAGGGCCGAGACTATTTGCCAATAGAAAACAATAACGCATAAATAAAGAAAATAAGGGCTGAAAAAAAGATACGACAAAAGAACAAAACTGACTTTAAATATAGAACAGAAAAAAAAAACGGGAGTTAAGAACAGGGTACACTAAAAATGAAGAACAAAAATAAGTTTCGAACTTTTATTACATACATAACGTATGGCAATGATGAAATAATCGTGCACATGTTTTTTTCACATATCTCTTACCTCTCTCTCTCTCCCCTCTCTCTCCCCTCTGTCTGTCATCCTGATGGCAGCATCTGTATATCTAAGGGTACATATCGCATGCTAAATGGCAGACAAAAGGGATAAATATTAAATGTAATAGTTCAGTTCACTTTCAGACAAACAAATAGCATATTTTGATATGCATAATTTTATTAAAACGGTACTCTGGCGGAATATAAGTAGGATACTGTATTAAGGTCTTCTTAAAAAATGTTGACACAGCAAGCACATCCACATCAGGGACACGTACCGCAATTGTAATTCTCTGGTCTATTTTTAAATATTACCTTTCTGCAGAAGCCTTTACGCTTTTTACCCAGTGAGAAATGCTACAGGTGTTGACCCAGATATCATAATAGTAAAGGTAAACACGCTGCGGCGAAGACTCCAGTGCACCGGAAGTCGCCTTCTACACAGTTTAAAGGTATTTTGGTGCTCCATGGTGATTGCGATATGATTCTATATCAGTATTACACTCCCTGTTTATTGGGGATACGAAAATAGAAATGTTGAACCAGTAAGTTCACTAGTGTGTGGATATGTATGAGGTGTGGATCTCTCTCTCTCTGTGTGTGTGTGTGTGTGTGTGTGTGTTTGTGTGTGTGTGTCATAAGTATTCCCCGCAGGCAAACGACATTGATTCTACGTTGATTCAACATTGATCCACCAAAATTAACGTTGATTCAACGGTGAATCAATGTCGTTTGTCTGCTGGGTTGTGACCTCCCTCATATTCCGTGTCTCCCCCCTCTTTTCGTGGGTTGGTTGGTATTTGGATTAAATTGATTGCAGTATGATGTATGTTTAAGATATGGATCGGTGGACAGGACGCGTTGCCTTGGTAACTGGAGCATCGAAAGGGATAGGAGCAGCCATTGCACGTGCTCTGGTTAAGAGTGGTATGGTGGTGGTTGGATGTGCCAGACACGTTGAAGATATGCAAGTATGGTTGAATTTTATATTTTCCCTGGTATTTGTGTTTTATATGTGTGTTTAATAATAATAATAATAATAATAATAATAACATCTACTTGTAAGTAAAAGTTGACTGTTAGAGGTAAAGTGAAAGTTTGTATCACCGTGAAATTCTAAAAATATAATATTAAGGGCAAGGAAATACGTTTTCTAGAAGGTTAAGTAAACGTTCTGTGTCGATAAAAATGACCAGTGATACCCGTCATACTACTATGATATCCTCCGTCTATAAAGCGTCTAAAAAGGTTTACATCCAAATCTTCGTCTTTTCTTTTTGCCCTTTTTTCTTTTTCAATATATTCCACTGGCATCAAATAATTGGTCGTCTCCAAGTACATTCGGTCTATCATGACGACCATGCAGAATAAACATGAATATTGGTATAGGTTTAAGCTTCGAAATCCCCTAAACATTTTGTCCCGTTCAATATCATGATGCGTGTATAAGACAATGAATCACTAATAATTGAATGATCCATTTCAATCCTTTGTTGAAGTGTTCTTTGAATATATGTATTCCAGAAAACAGCCACAGATCTTCAAGATGAAAAGGGCAGTTTAATTCCAATGAAGTGCGACCTTACCAAAACGGAAGAGATCGAGTCCATGTTTCAAAAAATCAAGGAACAGTTGGGTGGTGTCGATGTTTGTGTTAACAACGCTGGTGTTGACCTCTTTCTGAATTGCAAGACAGGGTCTTTATCTGACACCAAGACAATGTATGAAGTGAGAAAACTCATATTTTTTTCAGTAGCATTTATCATTTATCTTAGCATTTATCTTTTAGACCCAGATTTTTTAACTTTATATGATATATTCTGAATCTATATCCCAAGGAAAATATGTTTCGGCTTAGGTCTGTTCCTTAATTTTGAATTGCTAGGATTGTAGGATTAAGTTCTGTTGAGTATTCAAAATTTCTTGTTTAAAAATATTTTTGTTTTTAATCAATTACCGTAACTGCTTCCACCTCAACTTTGTATTTCTTCGCAGGCTGTGTATTACCAGAGCGTTAAATTCGGGTACATGTTAAAGCTTATACGTATATGCTCAGTGAGGAAATGTTTGCCAAACATCTAATTGAGCGCCAAGCCATGCTGTGCATGAACAAAGCTTTTCTTAGCTGTTTAGCTAATACTTAAAGGGATAATAATTATTAACTGCTTGCTTTGGCCAAAAAATGAATTTCCCTGTAGTAAACAACAGTTTTCCCATACTTACCAATGGATAATGAATCCATTTCTACATTCAAAGTTAGTCCCTGTTTTTTTCTAAAAAGTTTGTTTTTTTGTTATAATCTCTCAAGAGATTATAACAGAGTATAGCCATCTTTGGAGGTCACGTGATCCGATGACAAGCTCAGATATCAGAACAATAGCTATAACTGCCGGTTTTGTGGTAAAACAGAATATATTATATTCCTATGAGTTGTTTACAATGTTTTATTGTGAAAAATAGCTCTCATACGAAGAGTTATTATCCCTTTAAAGTAATACAGTACAATTATGCAACGGACAGCAAGTGCAAAAATGTGATCGAAAAAGTGATCTAGAAAAAATGATCACGACTTGTCGTTTCATTTACACTGATATACTTTCAGCCAGGAACGACCTGTCAAATAAAGCTAAGGCGTTTTTTCAGTTGAATGTATTCGCTGTCATCACCGTTTCCCAGCTTACCATTCAGTCCATACAAGAAAGGAACAAGTATGATGGGCACATTATTAATATGAGCAGGTAATACGGCCTCAAACAGAATATACATATATCTTTATCGTGCTTCTAAGTAATTGAAAAATTAAACAAATCACATCCCAAAAATGTGACTCCGGGCTTGGAAAACGCATTTGGCACACTGGTACCTTCCGCGAATGGGCAAAATTTTATTCTGCAAACGATTAAAACTCCCATAGAATTGTGACGTTGCAGGCGAAATTAGCTATTTGCCATTTCAAACTGGTTCTGGGAGACTAATCATGTTATCGTTTCTGACAAGCATACTCTATTTAATTACAGTGTATGTGACAGCACGGTCCACGAGGACTCTTCATGTCACATGCATACCCCAACAAAGTGTGCCCTGAAGGCTTTCACAGAGGGCCTGAGACACGAGCTGAGACAAGAGAAAACGAAAATACGGACAACGGTATGAGTGTGAGAGAGAGACCTAAAGAAATTTAGATTAAATGTATATTAAGGAGAAATATTACAGTCCAGTCGATAACTCCTTACTTACACTAGTAGATAACTTAGCGGAGAAAATTAACAAAAGTGAAAGTGAGATCAATTGAGATACAAATGAGATGCAATTTTATAGTATTGGAATATATTTCCCATCTCTCACAACCCACGATGGAGTATCCGTAGATGGGCGGCTAGAATAGTATGAATTCAGTGGTATTTATATAACACTTTGTTAATGTAACCCAATATTGAAATATTATGCTCTACTGTTAGGTGATTAGTCCTGGATTGGTCGACACTCCGCAAGCAAGAGCAGACATAGACGACAACCTCTTCTGTCCGGAAACTGTAAGCTTCAATAAAATGGTGTGGCTTAATCCCTGAGTTTTGTGGCAAACTTCTTCAATCACTCCAATACCCTTTGCCTTTCGCAAATAACAGACGTTATGATACTAAATAAATCTAATAAGGATTCGAACAAAGGTTTTGGCAACGTTTTGGGTTTTAATGGATTTAAAGTGAATCAGACAAATTGAAATGTAAGCGAAGTTGCTGAGGATATGCTTCAGTCTTTTAATGAGCAATTCTTTTGTCTTAATTATTCCATTTAACTAGTGTCCTGTGTGTTACTTTCTATACATCACCCATCCATTTGGGCTTAATATAAAGCACTTTAAATGCTGTTAAATTGTCACTGGCTTATAGTAAATATTTTGGTTTACATTTTTTGTCATTCACCTTAATTTTTCTCCATAATAATTTTTTTATCTCCAATTATGTAATACCTTATATTAATCAGAATACACCCTTAAATATCATGCATCTTTTATAATATCATTTCACGCTAGTGTCTTCAACCAGACGATGTCGCTGCCGCCGTGACCTTTGCCCTCAGTGCCCCGTCTTGTGTTAACGTAAGAAAAAATACTTTTGCATTCAGTACTTTTTATTAAAACAGTTTATCTGGTTACAATTAGAGTCGGAAAAGAGGCTTTGCATGAACATATGAGAGGGTTTCAAGTTGTCTTGAATCTTGTCATTTACTTGTTAGGTATTCTGAACTCAAGTCCAAGGGGACTTAAACTTCTTAATTATTAAATGCTGAAATTACCATTTGCTCTCTCAGAGATCGAATCCGGTATTAAATTTGCTCCCACGCCTCAAGTACGTCAGTGGAGCCACCAATTAGGACATTGTTTCAATTTACTTTTCCAGGTCCGCCATCTTTGCCTCCACGCCATACACGACTCGTTTTAAACTATGTCAAACTGCAGATCTTTTCATGCTTTTAAAATGCATGCCTTATTGGATGGGGAAATGTCTTGTATTTAATTTGTAATTCTTCTTCATACAACACCAAAAAGCGAAAATATTTAAAAAGTGTGTGTAGTCCAAGAAATGTTGATTGTGAGTGTTCCCTTAAAGGCAGATATAATTGGATTTAAAATGCATTTTACCTGTATTTAATCTTATTGTTTGTAACTTTTCATTAAAATCCTGTCATTTTTGGTTGAGTTATGAGCACTTATGTAAAAACGGTCCCATCTTGCAATTTGAATGAAAAATACTGTATGAAATGGCGCCAAAGCCGAATCAAGATTCGGGTCAACAATGGCTTCCTCCATAGCCAATTCCAAAATGATCATGGCTGACATGAAGAATGTTTCATTTGCAGATGATATTCCTTTGTCCATTCTTCTTGCTTTAAAATTATCAGCAGGGTTACGTAAGCAGTGGCGCCACCAACGCTGATCGTCTCATAACCAAGGCCTGTCAAGAAATAACGTCGTACGGCAAAAAGATGCTCATCATACTTGACAATTGTGAGAGTGCTTTTGAGGAAANCCAAAATGATCATGGCTGACATGAATGTTTCATTTGCAGATGATATTCCTTTGTCCATTCTTCTTGCTTTAAAATTATCAGCAGGGTTACGTAAGCAGTGGCGCCACCAACGCTGATCGTCTCATAACCAAGGCCTGTCAAGAAATAACGTCGTACGGCAAAAAGATGCTCATCATACTTGACAATTGTGAGAGTGCTTTTGAGGAAATCACACAAAACCATTTCTATACCATGCTACAGCGGTTGGTTACTAACTGTAACAACGCCTACATTTTATGTACAACTCGCCTTACAATTCACTTACCAAATGAAGACGTACCTACTCACAATCTTGGTTCTCTGACAGTGGATGAATCGTGTGACGTGTTGCAGTGGTATTCCCAGAATTTGTGTCTTGAAGACGGCAAACGCTTGGGTGAAAAATGTAGCTTTGTTGTACTGTTGCTTCATATCCTTGGCTACTCACTTCGCCAAGGTCACAAAACAATAGATATAATCGAGGAACTAACCTTGAAAACGGTATTTGGCCTAAAACGTTCGCCCTTAACACCCGAGCACCTAAACGCTGCAGCTTGTGTTAACCTCTCTTATAAAGATTTGGGCCTGGAGATGCAAGAATCAGTTCAAATACTGTCTCTTTTTCCAACAAGCTTTAAGGCAGATGACGCATTCAAACTCTTGACCAAGCATCAAATGAGTCTTACTATGTATGATTGCAGAACTTGTCTACAAACCGTTTGTGATGTTTCGTTTCTGGGGTATGATGCAGCCAGTGAGACGTATACTGTGCACAGTGTTATTCAGGCATTTGCAAATCAACAGGCTTCCGAAGAAAACATGGATCATTTCAAACAGATATTCATGACTTCTATGAAGCATAGAATAAATAGGATGTACGCCTTAGCTGCAACAGAAAATGTCCGCGAAGCAACAAAACTGTTTGAAAAAGACAAAGATATTTATCTGACCTGTATTGATATTTTTAAGTCAAAGGAAGTCACATGCAGCATTGCAAAAAAATTGGCTTTCAGTCTAAGTATGATAGGCAGGTTGGTTGATTCTCTCAGATGTTTCAAACTAGCACTAGACGCCACTATAGAGCACGGAAAACAAAGTGATTTTGACCTGGTATTCTTGTATTATAATATAGGTTATCTGCAGGCCGAACTTACAGATTTACCCGCTTCCGTTGAGTGTCTGTCTAAAGCAAAAGACATGTATGAGAAACAAGATAAGCGCTGTAACTATAAAGATTATTGTAAATGCTGTTATTATTTGGTATTAGTGTTGCAGGAATCAAAAGAAAATTATGCCTGCTGCCTCGATATCCTGAACAACTCTTTTGACAAGGCCGTTGCTCATCACGATTTAAGCATGAAATATCTTGCACAGGCCGGAATTTCAGGAACCAAAGCCAGACAAGAAGAGAANCAAAGCCAGACAAGGAGAGAATTTAGGAAGCCGTTATGTCCACCTTGCATGACATACTTAATGCAAAACCCTCAATAGATGGTAAGGAAGGCGGAGTGGGTATAGTTGCTTTGAACGGGGCAGCCGTACCTTTGAATGTCATTGGAAATAAAGAGGAATCTTTGTCATTACATAAACGGGCAGTTGCTCTAGCAGACGACTGCTATGGATGAACATCCTGACTCTGCTAGTGCCCTCACGTACATGGGTTCTGTCATGAATGATATATGCTGGACATATAGATGGGGCCATAGATGCTCTTAGAAGAGCATTGTCTGTGAGCGAAAAGACACTGGGAGAATACCACGAACAGACAGCAATCACAATACAAACATTAGCTCGTGCCATATCTGCACAGCGAAACCACGCAGAGGCCCTTAGTACATATCAGAGAGCTCTTCGTATAAGGGAGCAAGTGCTGGGTGAAAGTCAAAGTACAGCCATTACGTATACACTGCATTGCATGGGTCAGGAAATGATAGCGCTGGTCAATGCAGATGGTGCTGTGGACGTTCTCAGGAGAGCTCTGGCTATGAAGGAGAAAATACTGGGAGAATATCACGAACAGACAGCAGCCACAATACATGAAATAACTCGTGCCATATCTACACAGGGAGATCATCCAGCTGCCCTCGGTACATACCAGAGTGCTCTTCGTATACAGGAGCAAGTGCTGGGTGAATGTGTCAGTACAGCCAATACAATTCACTGCATAGGTCAAGAATTGACAATGATGAATAAAAAAGGCGAAGCCATCATTGCTTTCGTTAGGGCGATAGTTATGGGGATGAAAACCACTGGAATAATACCACACTCATGCAGCAGTGACAAAACATGAGCCCCACAGTAATTATTAGAAAACACGTGTAAGTGCTGTATACGTTTCAGGACAGCTATAAATGGTACACAACGAAAGGGCCATACTAGATAACCTTAAAAGTGGCTTACTGCAGTACCTACGTTACTTCATACGAGAAACTATACGAGAAAGAGCGAGAATCCCTGTGAATCTGGGTTAACTTATAAGCGATAAATTAAGGGTGAAACTATAAACCGGAAATATATCTTTATTAAATAATACCCAAGAAATTGACACGCACAACTTGAGAAAATAACCAGTATCTTTATGGCAACTTTTATTCGTTGTTGTAAAACACTCGCAAGTTTGCCATTATTTATGACCTTAATCTCCTCTAAATTCCACGAAATCTTGCATGACATTTTGTGAATTGATTAGCGAGACTGCAAGTTATTCTAAATAATGCCCGTTGAGAATGAGGCAAACTGATTTTTAGTGTAGCCATTGCGCACCACGCACAATGGTATCGGCCATAGCTGTCAAACCTGGCCCATGTATTGTGTTTATATTTTCAGGAGCAAAAGTTTTTCGATAAGCAATTAAATACAAATCATTTAGAATATCTTTTCCCTTAAAATATTTTATTTATATTTCAATTAATATCTTAAATAAAGTAAAGATTAAGTAGATTAAGTAGCAAAATTAAATCTGTTTACGTTTCATTGTGGACTAATGACATTCAAATGCAGATTCACTGCGGAGCAGTTCCTTTGAATGGCAGATATTCAAAATTGCTGCTATTCTTCAGGGACACCGTAAAGCTAACACATGAAAAGATATAGGCCTAGTGAGTAAGCTACATGTACCTTTATAGTATCCTGATACTCATGGTAGAATTGGAAAACGCGGGCTTGAAGAGTCAGAGAAAATGTTTACAAAACTTTTGCAGGTAATCGAGTTATATTCAACTCATGGTAGAATTGGAAAACGCGGGCCTGAAGAGGCAGAGAAAATGTTTACAAACTTTTTGCAGGTAATCGAGTTATATTCACTATAAATAGTTTACAAAAAAGAAGTTTTTCTTATCTTCCTCCTCGTCTTTGAAGGACAAACCTGAGACCCTTTTTCCATATTGCCTTTTCCTGCCAACATGAACTGGTTTAAACAAGGTCACAGCACGAGAGTCTCGCGATATCCAAAAGTCTAGAGTGTTCAAGCATGAAATGGCATCCATACTTGAAAAACCATCGCTTAAGCGTGGGTTTTGGTAAATTGCTTTTAATATTTAAATTGCTATAGAGAAATTTTTGTATTGCTATTAATGTCATAACGTCTTCAGTAATCGTTGGAAAGTATGATAAAATTGTGGGCTACCCCATGAATACCCGTTTTATGGCACTTTTTTCCGCCAATATGAAGAGTTTTCGTAACTTCGTTATGATTTTTGAATTTATTATTATTATTTTTTTTTGTAATATTTTAATTAAACAGTTGAATAAAATGCATTTTTGCTGTGTTTTATAAATAAAAATACCCAACTTTAAAATGCTTATGAAATATATATAACCGCACAGTTCCACTGATGTTTCAAACAATGACCTCAAGGCTGAGGTCATTTCATTCGTAGGTTAATTGGTACATGTGTATAAAGGCAGGATGAAGATGGCCTCAGGTCAAGTTGTAGTTTGATATCTACTGGGTCAAACTTAAAGGGATATATATTTATAATAACTCTTCGTATGTGATCTATATTTTACAATATAAAACATTGTGAACAACTCATAGAAATATGATATATTCTGTTTTATCACAAAAACGGCAGTTATGGCTATTATTCTAATATCTGAGCTTGTCTTCAGATCAAGTGACCTCCACTGATATAATCTCTTNTTTAGAGAGCTAGCAACAAAATAATAAGAGATTTAACAAAAAAAAAAAAAAAACTTTTTAGAAAAAAAACAGAGACTAACTTTGAATGTAAAATGGATTCATTAACCATTGGTAAGTATGGGGAAATTGTTGTTTACTCCAGGAGAATTCATTTTTTGGCCAAAATGAAGAGTTATTATCCCTTTAAGGTTTTGGGGACTACATTGTGTCCCAGTTGTAATGCTTGACCCGTAGCATGGATTTATTTCACTCTTAACTATAAATAGGTTAACTGGTACATGTGCATAAAGGTGGTTTCAGGTCACGTTGTAGTTGATATCGACCGGGTCAAACTTAAGGTTTTTGAGGACATTTTGAGGACACTGGAAATCCACCTCTCTGTTATATCAGCGTAACTCTGCCATTTACGTATACTGAAAACGGCAAGAGGCAAGGGGATAGAGAGGTGAGTTTCCACTCTATTTTTTCCGCATAATATTGATCGGCGCATTTGTTTTAGGCAATTATAACACTGACAGTGAGTAAGTGAAGGGGTAAAACAAAGATGGCGCTTGATGCGGGTTGCGGGTGTCGAGAATAAGAAAAAAGACTCACCTGTTGTGAGACATACGTGGCCAGGTATGTGGCGTGAGTACTGTCAGAAAACAGGGTCCGATAGTAATGTGTTATAAATTAATTCTGCCTATACTTTGGTTTTATATACTATTTTAGATGCCCCTTCTATCATAGGGTATATGGTATATGAGTCATATCCAACCAACGTTGCATCTAAGCGGATTGTCGTGCAGGCGACCTCAGGCCACGTGGGAGTTGGGGGGGGGGGGGGGCAACGTGTGGTTTACATTGAAGATGTTTTACCTGTCCCGAAGTTATATAAATTATTTCCTGCAGATCTTTTCTTTAAAAGCGTAACGATTTCAGGACTTTTTATAACTAATGTCCTTAGGTACTCGTATTGGGTTCTTATATTCTATGACTTTTTATAACTAATGTCCGTAGGTACTCGTATTGGGTTCTTATATTCACTTGCTGACAACCACACGTGCTTTTTATTTGTGTACGTACATGTACCTCTCTGATTCAACACACCTTGTATTTCTAATACAACATACCTTGCATCCGCTATATACGTACGTGTACGTAACGTGACGTACAGTCGGATTACCATTAAATTGTACGTTTTACATATCAGGGCAAAAGAGGATAATATATGTTTATGATCAGAGATAAAACGATGGCTCGGTACACAATAATCTACAGATTTATATGCAAACGCGTCATGTAAAATGCGTTAAAATAAGTGAAGATTTGTGCCCCTCCTCTCCGACGTGCTACCTTGTCCGGACCCAATGAGTCTACGAGTTTTTGTCAATGAAATATGCTTTTAACATGAAGCTGTTTCAGAAATGGATCGCTGGGCAGGACGTGTTGCCTTGGTAACAGGAGCATCGAAAGGGATAGGAGAAGCCATTGCTCGTGCCCTGGTTAAGAATGGTATGGTGGTGATTGGATGTGCCAGACACGTGGAAGATATGCAAGTATGTTTTTTCAATAATAATAATAATAATATAGATAAGCAAATAAAGACTGGATGTCGCGGTGAAAAACTAGAACTGCTACATGTCACTGACAAAAAAAAGAGAATACCGTGGACAATTGTTTTAAAGAATTGTTTTCATCTTTATGTCCTCTGTATCTATAAAAATGCAGATTTATAAAACCATATATAGCTAGTTGCGAATGACACCTGCGCCCTGGTCAGACAATTCGTGCCTAATCTTTCTCTGTTATTATTTTTTCTGTCTCTGATGGTAATATTGATTGATATACTTTATTCAGTAACTCAGGTACGTTCAGTCGTTGTAGCATAGATAATGTTCGTATATACAGTAGAATATCGACATCCCCCAAATATTTTCTTCTAACAAATAACCGTTTAGTTGAGTTAGATGTTAAATACGATAATCACAAAACTGATAAATTTTTTACCTTAGATGAAAAGAAGGTTGAATACATGTATACATTCCAGAAAGCAGCAACGGGACTTGAGGGCGAAAAGGGTCGTTTGATTCCAATGAAATGCGACCTTACCAAAACGGAAGAGATCGAGTCCATGTTTCAAAAAATCAAGGAACAGTTGGGCGGTGTCGACGTTTGTGTTAACAACGCTGGTCTCAGCCTCTTTCAGGATTGCAAGACAGGGTCTTTATCTGATACCAAGGCAATGTATGATGTAAGACAACCCCGCTGATATATATATGTATTTTTCAGAATATTGTTAGTCGTATTACTGTTAGATTCAGCATCTAGATCAAACAAAGCTTGAAATTCCAAAGAAGTATTTTTTGCATCAAAACAAAACTTTATATCTGTTTGTTGAGTTCCAATTGTCTACTTGAGATTGTGCTAAGTTTGTGTTTAGCGTAAAGTTCGGGTACATGTTATAGCTTATGTATATATGCTCAGTGAGGAAATGTTTGCCAAATATCTAATAGAGCGCCGAGCCATGCTCTGCATGAACAAAGCTTTTCTTAGCTGTTTAGATGATACTTAAAATAATGCAATAAAGCAACGGACAGCAGGTTCGAAAAATGGCCAGCGACTCTAAAAAAAAAAAAAAAAAATGATCACGACTTGTCGTTTCACTTACTGACATACTTTCAACCCGGGACAACCTATCGAATAAAGCCAAAGCGTTTTTTCAGTTGAATGTATTCGCTGTCATCACCGTATCCCAGCTTACCATTCAGTCCATACAAGAAAGGAACATGGATGACGGGCACATTATTAACATTGGCAGGTAATACACGTACAGCCAGGTTTAAACAGAATACGTGCTAGTTACCTGTATAACTTCTCGTCGTCCAATGAATGCAGCAAACAAGAGTGCAATTATCCTATTGTTTGAAGCGCCAGTCGTGGTATAAATCTTTATTGTCATGACTTACTAATAGATAAATGATCAGGTCAACAATAAGTTGATATAAACTTTAAAAAATCACATCCCAAACGCGATGAAACCATCAAAGTCCTTAGCTATAACACCCGAGCTTGACAAAGAACGAATTTTGGCTCTTTCTGACAAGTATACTCTATTTAATTATAGTGTATGTGAAAGCACGGTCCACGTGGACTTACCATGCCACGTGTATACCCCAACAAAGTTTGCCCTGAAGGCTTTCACAGAGGGCCTGAGACACGAGCTGAGAAAAGAGAAAACGAAAATACGAACAACGGTATGAGAGAGAGAGAGAGAGACAGAGAGAGATGCATATAATATATATAGAAATTACAGCCCAGTCTTGTTTCACTAGTAGAAAACTTTCGCAATTTAATTAAGGCAAACATAAGTCAGATGAACCGAAAGAATAATACAATTTTTACGGTATTGGAATCGCTTATGAATATTCCGCCTCTAGACATGCACTAGTATACATATAGGTGGTCAAATATTTCATTTTAGAAGAATTTACACAGCATTTTATTAATGTAACCCAAAATTGATATCTTGCTGCTGAAATATAATGCTCTACTTTTAGGTTATTAGTCCTGCATTGGTGGACACTCCGCAATCTAGAGACGACATGGATGACAGCTTCTTCTGTCCAGAAACTGTAAGCTACAGTCAAATGTTGTAGGCTTATAATCTCTCGGTTTTGTGGCAAACTTCTTCTATCATTCCTTCCGCTTGCTTTTTGCAAATAACAGAAATTATGAATGGAATAAGGATTCTCGGATTCTGACAAAGTTTTCAGTAACGTTTTGGTCTTAATGGATAAGACATTGCAATTTTATTGAGGATACAGAGGGGTTGTTTCATTTGTAATTTTTAAATATTTATTTAAAAAAGGCTTATTTAACACATTCATTAAATCACCTAGCAGTTTCACCTTAATAAAAGACACTTTAAATGTTGTTAATATGCCACTGTCTTAAAGTAACTATTTTGGTTTACGTTTGAAATCGTCATTCAGCTTATTTTTTCCCCATAATAATTTTTTCAATGTAATGTCATTGCACACTAGTGTCTTCAACCGGACGATGTCGCTGCCGCAGTGACCTTTGCCCTCAGAGCCCCGCCATGTGTTAACGTAAGAATAATTTTCACTAACTTTTGCATTCAGTACTTTTAAGTTAATTCATTTTTTCTGGTTACAATTAAAGTCAGAAAAGATACCCATTTCTTTGAATGAATAGTACACGTAATAGGGTTTTTGATTTTCTTGAATCTTCTCATTTGCGTGTTAGGTATTCTGAACACAAGTCCCAGGGGACATAAAATTCTTTATTATTGAATGCTGAAATAACTATTTGCTCTCTCAAAGATGGAATCTGTTGTTGTTTGCTCCCATCTGTCAGAAGCTTCAATGAAGCAACCATTTATTACATTGTAACAACTTTCTTTTCCAGGTCCGCCATATTTGCCTACACGCCATACACGACCCGTATTAACTCATAGGGCAACTGCCGCTGCCAGCTTGTCACGTCTTTGAAAAGCACAAATATTTGGATGGGGAAAATGCCTTGTTCTTCATTTGTTATTCTTTTGCATTCAACACCAAACGATTTTGATATATTATGTGTAGTGCGAGAAAAGACCTTGTACGAGGCGTAAAAAGGGTACTTCGTTGGTATCTATTTTTTTCTTTTTGCAATTAATTTACTTCGGTAATTACACTTTTTTTGTGATTTAAATACCCTGCTTTGGATAGACTAAATAAGTCAATAGAAGGTTGTATTCCAAGAGCACAGAAGCAACATGGAGTGCGATAACACATGTACCTTAAAGTTAATATGGGTGTGATATCAAAACAGTTTAAATGGAATAGTCACATATTATATGTGATATTCCTTATTTGAAATAAATACACAAAACAAATACGTTTGTAAACTTCCAAGAATTCGTAAAGAAGATAAAATGGGAAAGTGTATACATGCTTAAAATTTGAAATATATATATATATATATATATATATATATATATATATATATATATATATGACTTTTTCTTTGGATGACAACAATGAAACGATGGAAAAAAACATTAAAGGATTATTCCAATGCACATGATCAGGTTCATGTTGGTCTCACATGATTGTGGAAGCTCTATTGAAATGTAGCCACCATTAGCCATATTTGACATTTCCCACAAAGGCAACGATCCTATAATTCGTCACTTTGCTTCAAGGAAATAATTCACCAAAGTTGGTGGTCCTGTCCCCCGAGTATATGTTTGATGGTTTTTGACGCATAGAGGGTCTACTAAGTAGAATAAAAAAAAAATTAACCTTGGGAAATTTCAGACAAGACAATTGTCTAGACATGTGCAATTAAAGAACGTAATGGAATCTGTTTGACCCGAATTCTGGTGCAAAGTTATGCATCATGATTTTTGACGCTTAGTGAGTCGATCTACTAAGTAGAATGACACGTTGGTCTCAAACAAAATATTCTTGTATCTTTATCATGTTTCCCAAGTAAATCGAGTATAAGCGGTTGAAAAATTAAACAAATTACATCGCAAACTCATTTGGCTTACTCATAAAGTGTCGAGAATGGGCACAAATTCCTTCTCCAAACGGTTAAAACTTCTATAACGTGTGGTTGCAGGCAAAAGTAGCTAGCCGGCATTTTATACTGTTGAAATGGGTCTTGGAAATTATTATTTTATCCTTTCTGACAACCCATACGAAAAAGTCCTAAAGAATCCTATAGGAAATTGGGCCAATTTCCTATAGAATCCTATAGGATCTTATAGGATCCTATAGGACTTTTTCGTTAGGGAAGCGTATTGTATTTAAATACAGTGTATGTGAAAGCACGGTCCACGCGGACTTACCATGTCACATGTATACCCCAACAAAGTGTGCCCTGAAGGCTTTCACAGATGGCCTGAGATACGAGCTGAGACAAGAGAAAACGAAAATACGGACAACGGTATAAGAGAGAGAGAGAGAGAGAGAGAGAGTGTGTGTGTGTGAGAGAGAAGCATTCAATATATTAAGAAATTACAGCCCAGTCTATATCTCCCTATTTTGACTGGTAGATAACTAAGCAATGAACACAAACACAAGTCAGATAAACCGAGAGAATTATGCAATTTTTACGGTTTTGGAATCGCATATGAATATATCGCCTCTCGCAATGCACGAATATACGTATGGGCGGTTATTTTAGAAGAAATTAGAAGCATTCTCTTAATATTAATGTAACCCAAAATTGATATCGTGCTGCTGAAATATTATGTTTACTATTAGGTTATTAGTCCTTCATTGGTGGACACTCCGCTACCTAGAGAACGCTTCGATGACAGCTTCTTCTGTCCGGAAACTGTTAGCTACAGTCAAATGCTGTGGGTTTATTATCTCTGGATTTTTTGGCAAACTTCTTCTATCCTTCCTCCCCTTTGCCTTTCGTCAATTATCTAATATCTAATATATATCAGAATACCTGTACGCCCTTCAGCATCATCCATCTTTTGTAATATTATTTCACAATAGTGCCTTCAACCAGACGATGTCGCTGCCGCCGTGCCCTTTGCCCTTTGTTACGTCTTCCAAATGCACGTATTTTTGGATGGATAATGCCTTGTTCTTAATTTGTTATACCCTTGCATACAAAACAAAATGCTTTTATACGTGTGTTTTAAAATGTGAGAGCTGATGATCATGCAGTTTTACTTTAATAAAACTTATACATCAGAATAGATGGCGCCACTGAACAACACATACCTGGTTATATATTGCTGCCATGTCTCTTCAGAATTTACTGTATTGTAAAGGACTATAAAACTATACTGGAGTCGGGATTTTATGAATAACTCTAGGCCATTAAACTACAATTTATCAGTGATTGGTAAAAGGTAAGATTTCCACCTGGAAGGTACAAGCTACCGGTGGAGTAGTAAACCTGCACCTTAATGACATACACTGTATACATTCAAGAGCAGCGTCAGCCACAAGTAAGTAATGAATAAGGCTTTAAAACTACACCATAAAGACAAACACCTAGAGGACCTATCTAAAAAAATACTAGTTACTACGATTTATGATAATGATAATATTCATTTATTTAAACCCCAAAAGCCATTTAAAATCCATAATATCCATGTTCAATGTTCAGAAGACGTTAGTGATACCTGTAATTCAAGAAATGTAAACACATTATTAGTAAGAATAAAAGAACAAGCTTAACAGACACCTGTGTATTCTCTCTCTCGTGAGATAAAAAAAATTCCATTTGCGCGCTTATCAGCAGTTCCTTTCTGATTTAAACGGAAACAAACATTTAAATTTGATGGCGCGTCAATCTGCCTGTAATGAGGGTCTATTGAGGATCTCTCTGATATAAAATGCACATCCAGGGACGGATCCAGATTTATTTGAATGAGGGGTCCGCGGACACTGTGAAAGAAAAGCAGATTTGCAGGAAATAATATAACTTCGGGACAGGTAATACATCTTGAATGTAAAACGCTATAAAACACTATTTGCCCCCCCCCCCACGTGGCCCAAGATCTCCCGCACGTATGTCCCCTTGGATACGCCGTTTGTTGGATATGACTCATATACCATATAGGCTACCCTCTGATAACTAGGACATCTAAAATATTATAGAATCAAAGTATAGGCACAAATAATTTATATAAGACTACTACCGCCCCCCCTCGATTGGCGTGGGATAATTTCAAGAGGGGGCCATTAGTGTGATTTGTTTTTAGAAATCGAAGGGGGTTAGGACCCCCCCCCCAGGCACCCCTAAGTCCGCCATTGCCCATCACATAGCACCAAGCACACCCCACCCAGGCACGCACATCTATAACATTTCAAACTTTTGTTTACAAATATCACCGGTCTAGACAATGCCGATGTCATATGATTAAAGCTGTATGAACTTCTGCAAAGAACCCGGTCCAAAAAAAGCGTCTACATTTTGTCCCAGTTTTGTAATGCTTAGCCTGAAAAATGAGGTCATCTCACTCGTAGCTATATGTTGGTTGACTAGCACATGTGTATGGAGTTTGTTTCGCGTCAAGTTGTAGTTGATATCGACCGGGGACAAATTTAAGGTTTGAGGAAATCCACCTCTCTGTTATATCGGCATAACTCTGTTGTTTACGTTTACTGAAAACGGCAAGAGGTAAGGAGATTGTAGACAGGTTTCCGCTTAATATTGACCGGCGTCTTCGTTTTAGGCACTTATAATTGTGACAGTGTTGAAGTATCTAGCGCTGCATATTTTGGGGTAAAAAAATGTGGCGCTTGAGGCGGGTTGCTGGTGTCGAGAAAAAAAGACTCACCTGTTGTGAGACAAACGTGGACGTGGAGAGACACCTCACGCATGTGGCGTGAGGACTGTCTAACAGCAGGGTCTGATAGTAGTCTTATATAAATTATTTGTTCCTATACTTTGATTTTATACCATTTAATATAGATGCCCTAATTATCAGAGGGTATATGGAATGAGTCATATCCAACAAACGGCGTATCCAAGGGGGACGTACGTGCGGGAGTCTCGGGCCACGTGGGGGGGAGGGTGGCAAATTGTAGTTCACATTATAGATATATTAGAGTTTTTTAACTAGAATTTTCCGCAGGTACTCGCATTTGGTTAATATATAGGGTTCTTGAGGAAACACTTGCTGACAACCACACATGCTTCGTGTATTTGTATAGGCTACATGTACATCTCTGATTCAACATGACCTGCATTTCTAATACAACATACCGTACATCCGACATATACGTGCACGTAACGTAATGAACAATGTGATTAACACATATGGTTTCCAGAACAGGGGATAAGAGGATCTTATATATGTGTATGATCGCAGATCTAACGTTGGCTCCACACACAATTATCAAAAATATTATACAACATTGGTCAAAAAGGTTGTCCCACCCCCATTTCCATATACTTTTATATACAAATGATCATCTCACAGCTGTAAATTGCTAGAGATAGTGCTTTTTATTACAGATACCGTGTCTAACATGATTAATGGTTAAAAAAAATAATGGTGAAAATATACATATTTTATACCATTTAGTAAAATTTATAAGAGGTACCCCCTCAAATCCACTGTTTCACTGTGACTTTACAGATGTAAAGAAATGTCTATAAAATTGAAAAGACGCCATCAAATGTCACCAAATTCACGCACAATTAGCATTAGGGTGTGCTCGTTAAAGATCACGTGCCTAACAGCGTGTGCGTCTACCGCGCACTACAATTATCTCCTGTAGACGGCTCAACAAGCCTTCAACATGGGTCCCCCTCTCCGTCCTGCTACCTTGTCCCGTCCCAAAGAGTCTATGAGTTTTTTTACAATGAAAATTTGCTTTTAATATAAAGTTGTTTCAGAAATGGATCGCTGGGCAGGACGTGTTGCCTTGGTAACAGGAGCATCGAAAGGGATAGGAGCAGCCACTGCACGTGCTCTGGTTAAGAATGGTATGGTGGTGGTTGGTTGTGCCAGACACGTGGAAGACATGCAAGTATGTTTTTTCAATAATAATAATAATAATAATAGTAATAATAATAATATAGATAACCAAATAAAAACTGGATGTCGCGGTGAAAAACTATAACTGCTATATGTCACTGACAAAAAAGAGAATACCGTGGACAATTGTTTTAAAGAATTGTTTTCATGTTTATGTCCTCTATATCTCTAAAAATACAGATTTATAAGACCATATATAGCTAGTTGCGAATGACACCTGCGCCCTGGTCAGACAATTCGTGCCTAGTCTTTCTCTGTCATTATTTTTTCTTGTCTCTGATGCCAATATCGATTGATATACTTTATTCAATATTTCAGCTTATAGCTTATGCGTATATGCTCTTTGAAAAAAGGTTTGCCAAATATATAATTGAGCGCCGAGTCATGCTCTGCTTGAACACAGCTTTTCTTAGCTGTTTAATCGGAAAATGGTCAGCGACTCTAAAAAAAATGATCAAATGTTTTTCGCTAAGCAATTAAATACAAAACATTTATAATATCTTTTCCCCTTAAAATATATTATTTATATTTCATTTAATATCTCAAATAAAGTAAAGATTAAGTAAATAAAGCAAAATTAAATCTGTTTACGTTTCATTGTGGACTAATGACATTCAAATGCAGATTCACTGAGGAGCAGTTCCTTTAAATGGCAGATATTAAAAAAATGATCACGACTTGTCGTTTCATTTACTGATATACAGTACTTCCAACCAGGGACATCCTATCAAATAAAGCTACAGCGTTTTTTTTTTCAGTTGAATGTATTCTCTGTCATCACCGTATCCCAGCTTACCATTCAGTCCATACAAAAAAGGAACATGGGTGACGGGCACATTATTAACATTGGCAGGTAATACACGTACAGCCAGGTTTAAACAGAATACGTACTAGTTATAACTGCTCGTCGTCCACTGTGTGCGGCATACTAGAATGCAATTATCCAATTGTTTGAAGCGCCAGTCGTGGTATAAATATTTATTATCATGATTTACTAGATGTTTGATGGTTTTTGACGCATAGAGGGTCTACTACGTAGAATAAAAAAAATAATAATAATAACCTTGGGACATTTCAGACAAGACAATTGTCCAGACATGTTCAATTTAAGAACGTAATGGAATCTGTTTGACCTGAATTCTGGTGCAAAATTATGCATCATGATTTTTAACGCTTAGTGAGTCGATCTACTAAGTAGAATGAAACGTTGGTCTCAAACAAAATATACTTGTATCTTTATCATGTTTCCCAAGTAAATGGAGTATAAGCGGTTGAAAAATTAAACAAATAACATCGCGTAGCTGTGACATCGGGCTTGAAAAAAAAAACGCATTTGGCTTACTCATAAAATGTCGAGAATGGGCACAAATTCCTTCTCCAAACGGTTAAAACTTCTATAACATTGTGTTGTTGCAGGCAAAAGTAGCTAGTCGGCATTTTATACTGTTGAAATGGTTCTTGGAAATTATTATGTTATCCTTTCTGACAAGTGTACTATATTTAACTACAGTGTATGTGAAAGCACGGTCCACGCGGACTTACCATGTCACATGTATACCCCAACAAAATGTGCCCTGAAGGCTTTCACAGAGGGCCTGAGACACGAGCTGAGACAACAGAAAACGAAAATACGGACAACGGTATGAGAGAGAGAGAGAGAGAGAGTGAGAGAGAGAAGCATTCAATATATTAAGAAATTACAGCCCAGTCTATATCTCCCTATTTTGACTGGTAGATAACTAAGCAATGAACACAAACACAAGTCAGATGAACCGAAAGAATTATGCAATTTTTACGGTATTGTAATCGCATATGAATATATCGCCTCTCGCAATGCACGAATATACGTATGGGCGGTTATTTTAGAAGAAAATAGAAGCATTCTCTTAATATTAATGCAACCCAAAATTGATATCGTGCTGCTGAAATATTATGCTTTACTTTTAGGTTATTAGTCCTGCATTGGTGGACACTCCGCAATCTAGAGACGACATGGATGACAGCTTCTTCTGTCCGGAAACTGTTAGCTACAGTCAAATGCTGTGGGTTTATTAACTCTGGGTTTTGTGGCAAACTTCTTCTATCCTTCCTCCCCTTTGCCTTTCGTCAATTATCTAATAGCTAATATATATCAGAATACGCCCTTCAGTATCATCCATCTTTTGTAATATTATTTCACAATAGTGTCTTCAACCAGACGACGTCGCTGCCGCCGTGACCTTTGCCCTCGGCGCCCCGCCATGTGTTAACGTAAGATATTTATATCATTAAGCATTGCATTCAATACCTTTTAGTTAACCCCGTTTATCTGGTTACAATAAGAGTCAGACAAAGTACACAGTACTTTGAAAGAATAGTATGATCTTATGTTTTTCATTGCCATGTATCTTCTCATTTGCGTGTTAGGTATTCCGAACAAAGGTTCAAGGTGCCATAAAATTATGTATTATTGGATGATGAAATTACTATTTGCTCTCTCAAAGATGAATCTGTTGTTGCTTGCTCCCATCTATCAGGTGCTTCAATGGAGAAACAGTTTATTTCATTGTAACAACTTTATTTTCCAGGTTCGCCCTATTTGCCTCCACGCCATACACGACCCGTATTAATTCAGGCACAACTGCAGCTGCCAGCTTTGCACATTTTCCAATTCAAACCCAACTACCAGACTCGGAACCTACGGATCCAGAAGAAACCGGTATATCAGACCACACTACCCGTTTTCAAGGTGTGTGTCAGATCGCATTACAGAGTATCAGCCACCACACCGATTTTGCCTGGTGCGCGATGTGATAGCGATGATCCTAAGAGGGGTTGGAAAGTAGTGCATCTCATCTAGATTCATGCGCTGCTGCAATTTTCCCTGTTTATGGTAAAAATATGACAATACCGCAATTTTTTAACATAAAATTTAGGTTCGAACATAGCCAATGATGTTTTGTAAATAAGAACTTGCAAACTTATATATTAAATTAGTTAAGTAGACCTAATTTTGATAGCGGAAGCATATTCTGTCGGGGGTTAAATATTTTCATGGCTAGCGGGATGGACGAGATCGAGGGAGCAAGCATGCTGCATGACGAGAGTTTTTTACTGGTGCTACAAGATGAAACAAACGTTACTTACTGAAATTATTCGATTTTTTTCACCGACTACCGTCTGTCGCCATGTTGTTGTATTCATACGACTCCTACTTGACGAAAACGAGGCGCGATACCCGGATGACAGGTAGGCCTACAAAATTTGTGATGGGGTATGATACTCTGTAATGCGATCTGACACACACCTTGAAAACGGGTAGTGTGGTCTGATATACCGGTTTATTCTGGATCCGTAGGTGCCGAGTCTGGTAGTTGGGTAAACCTGCTATCGGTCTCTTCTTGGTTGTCAGTAGGTTGCTATAACCAGTAGCTTACCATTTGCAACTGCACGGTCGATTGGCCGTATTTAGTCGACTGGTCGCTTACAAGTTTTTTACCAGTCGCAAGTAGTCGGCAGCAGGTCGCTAGAAGGTTGCAGTTGTAACTGCATGGTCGATTGACGGTCTTTAGTATCTTGGTCGCTACAGGTTTTTTACCGATCGCAGGCGTTCGGTTGTCAAGAGAAAAAAAATAGATAAATAAAAACGGCCAACCAATAACACTAGCTTGAACATACATGTACCTGATTATATATTGCTGCAATGTCTCTTGAGAAATAACTGTATAATAAAGGACTATAAAACTATACTGGAGTCGGGATTTTATGAATTGCTCTAGACCATTAAACTACAATTAATCAGTGGTAAGTGAAAGGGGAGACTTGTAAGGTACAAGCTAGAGTAGTAAACCTGCACTTTGGTGACATATACATTCAAGAGCAGGGTCAGCCACAAGTAAGTAATAAACAAGGATTTAGAACTCCACCATAAAGACAAACACCTATAGGACTTTAATCCCTATCTCAAACAACAAAAACAACATCAACAATAATATAGTTACTACAATTTATAATAATAATAATAATTTTTAAAATAATAACAATAATAAGATTCATTTTTTTAAAGCCCAAATGCTATTTTAATCCATATTATCCATAGTTTTCAGTAGACGTAAGTGAAATATGCAATTAAAAAAACGTAAACACATTATTAGTAAGAATAAAAGAACAAACTTAACATACACCTGTGTAGTCTCTCTCTCTCTCTCTTGTGAGATAAAAAAATCCATTTTTACGCTTATCAGCAGTCCCTTTTAGATTTAAACAGAAACTAGCATTGGAATTTGATAGGGTGTCAATCTGCCCATATTGAGGCTCTGTTGGGGCTCTCTCTGATATAAAATGCACATACAGAGAGGGATCCAATGGGGTGTGGGCCAGTGAAGGGCCCCGGAGATATTTGGTATTTTAGAGGGCGAACGGTGTCATTTGGTATTGTTTAGAACTATGATTCTGCTAGTCAAAATTCTAATATCAAGAGGGGACACTTTTTGCATTTCTTTTTTAGAAATCGAAGGGAGGTTAGGACCCCCTGACACCCCCGAAATCCGCCGTTGCCCATCACATAGCAACAAGCACACCCGACCCAGGCAAGCACACCTATACAGCATTTCAAACTTGTGTTTACAAATATCATCGGTCTGGACAAGCCATTACGCGATACTTTTTTTTCCCAATGCAAAACAGCATAGATACATTTCGACCCAGATAAAAGCTGAATGAACTTCTTCAAATAACCCGATGAAAATAATTCTACAAAGGGCAAAAAGTAGTTTGTCGGTCATAAGTAATTATGGCATAATTACAGTTCAATTATTATGATGTACATTTAATTCTTTTTGATAATTACTTTTCCTGTTGATTGACCGCCCATAGGACATTAAATAGTAGGTTTTTCCATCACACTCTGTAGTGTTCGTGTTACCCGGAAACCAAACCGTTTCAACAACAGGCACCGGGTAATTTGTCAAACTATCCAAGCTTCTACATTTTTTCCCAGTTATGTAATGCTTGGCCTGAAAATGAGGTCAATTCACTCGTAGCTGTATGTTGGTTGACTAGCACATGTGTATAGAGTTTGTTTCGCGTCAAGTTGTAGTTGATATCGACCGGGGACAAATTTAAGATTTGAGGAAATCCACATCTCTGTTATATCAGCGTAACTCTGTTGTTTACGTTGACCGAAAAACGGCAAGAGGCAAGGAGATTGTAGACAGAACTTACAACACTGACAGTGAGTAAGTATCTAGCCCTAGCTGCTTATTTGGGGTTAAACAAATGTGGCTCTTAAGGCGGGTTGCGAGTGTCGAGTAAAAAAAAAGTCTCACCTGCTGTGAGACATACGTGGACATGGACAGACACCACACGCATGTGGCGTGAGTACTGTCAGAAAAAAGGTCCGACTGTAGTCTTATATAAATTCTTTGTGCCTTTTCTTTGATTTTATGCTATTTTAGATGCCTTAGTTATCAGAGGGCATGAGTCATATCCGACCAACGGCGTATCCATGGGGACGTACGTGCGGGAACTCTCGGGCCACGCGAGAGGAGGGGGATGCAAATAATGGTTTACATTAAAGATGTATTATCTGTCCCGAAGTTATATTAATTATTTCCTGCAGATCTTCTTTAACGGCATGACGATTTTATAACTTTTTAACTAGAATTTTCCATATGTACTTGCATTTGGTTAATATATAGGCTTCTTGAGGAAACACTTGCTGACAACCACACGTGCTTCGTGTATTTGTGTAGGTCACATGTACCTTTGATTCAACATGCCCTGCATTTCAATACATCATACCGTGCATCCGACATATACGTGCATGTAACGTAATGAACAGTGTGATTAACACATATGGTTTACATAACAGGGGATAAGAGGATCTTATATATGTGTAAGGTCAAGATCGCAGATCTAACGTTGGCTCCATACACAATTATCAAAAGTATTATATGCAAACACGCGTCATGTAGAGTGCATTAAAATAAGTTAAGCTTTGCGCCCCGCCCCCTTTCTCTCCGTTGTGCTACCATTTCCCGCTCCAAAGAGTCTACGAATTTTTTATATTGAAAATTTGCTTTTAGTACGAAGTTGTTTCAGAAATGGATCGCTGGGCAGGACGTGTTGCCTTGGTAACAGGAGCATCGAAAGGGATAGGAGCAGCCATTGCTCGTGCTCTGGTTAAGAATGGTATGGTGGTGATTGGTTGTGCCAGACACTTGGAAGATATGCAAGTATGTTTTTTCAATAATAATAATAATAATAATAATAATAATAATAATAATAAAGATAAGAAAATAAAGATTGGATGTCGCGGTGAAAAACACTATAACTGCTGTTTAATTGTGTTCGTGGAAAATTTAAAAATAATACTAAGGGCAAATTCTTTAAAAGAACTGTTTCCATGTACATATCCTATATAAAAATACGAATTTAGAACCGTGCATAGCTAGTTGCCAATGGCAACTGTGCCATACCCAAACAATTCGTGGCTTATCCTCATCTATTATTTTTATTTGTATTTTCTTTCTGCAATGGCATTATTTGATAGATACACTTTATTCAACAACTCAGATACATTCGGGCGATAGTCCCCAAATATTTACCTCCAGCAAATAGTCGTTCTGTTAAGAAAGTTGTTTAATACGATAATCACAAAACTGTTAAGTTAACTTTTGTCCTTGGATGAAAAGATGATTGAATTAATACATGCACTGTATTCCAGAAAGCAGCCGCGGGACTTAAGGGCGAAAAGGGTCGTTTGATTCCAATGAAGTGCGACCTTACCAAAACGGAAGAGATCGAGTCCATGTTTCAAAAAATCAAGGAACAGTTTGGCGGTGTCGATGTTTGTGTTAACAACGCTGGTGTCAACTTCTACCAGGATAGCAAGACAGGACCTTTATCTGATACCAAGACAATGTTTGACGTAAGAGAACTCAACTGATATGTTTTCAGAATATTGTTAGTCATGTTACTGTTAGATCCAGTACCCAGGTGTAAATAGAGCTTCTACTTCAAAAAAAAAAAGAGCTTTATTCTGCTTATGTCCGTCTGTAGAAATGCAATTATCTACTTGAGTTTGTGCTTATTTTGCTCTGTTGATTGATTGCAGTATATGCCTTATGCTTTTTCCGTAAAAATTTTTTTGTCACCCGGGTGCAACCGATGTGCGTCGTCAGTCTGAGTAAGGTATTAGTAATTTTGAATGAGATTAATTTTTGCCCTCAGTGAGGGTATCATAGTATAGCCAAAATATAAACTCATGTAATGGCGAGATGGATGGCCAGTCCTAGCAAATTGTTAGCGCCTCATTTTTTTTCAGTTGAATGTATTCGCTGCCATCACCGTATCCCAGCTGACCATTCAGTCCATACAAGAAAGGAACATGGATGACGGGCACATTATCAACATCGGCAGGTAAGACATACGCCAATTTTAATCAGAATATATATATATATATATATATATATATATATATACACACACACACACACACACACACACACACACACACCGATTTACTAATAGTTGGAATGATCAGGCCATTAATTAATTAATTAGTGAAAACTTTAAAACTTTAAAATTAAACCATCAAACCCCCTACCTAAAACACCAAGGCTGATCAAGAACGAATTCTGGCTCATTGATGACAAATGAAGAGAATGGGCAAAAACAACTCCAAGAGGTAGCAAAACGGGTGTAACGTACAGGGGCTTTATAATTTCAAACTATTATGTCGAAGAAGGTAGCTACCCGGCAAACACTTTATAACGTTTTTTTTTTTCTTTTGTTGTATAAACATTATGGTAACGTTATAATAACGTTCTCTGTTTACTGTGTAGTCGCCATTGTATACTATTATTATATGAATAATATGCGGTTATCCTTGCTGACGAGTACATGTATATATTGTATTATATATTTTATTCTGTTGCAGTGTATGTGGAAATACTGTCCATGAAGGTACCGTGTTCCACATGTATGCTCCAACAAAGTATGCCCTGAATGCTTTCACAGAGGGTCTGCGCCTGGAGCTGAGACAGCAGAAAACGAAAATACGGGCAACGGTATTAGAGAGAGAGAGAGAGAGAGAGAGAGAGAGAGAGAGAGAGAGAGAGAGAGTAACATTTGGGCTCAAAATATGTAGCTGTAGTTACAGTAATTCACAAATTCAATAATACATTAAAAATAGTCAAGCAAAAACCAGAGCAAAATAAATTTTATAGCATTGGAATTGGAATAAAAGGATCGTATATATATTACCCGTCCATGTATTGGCGGTTAGATAATATGATTGAACTGTGAAGTATTAAAGAATTTCTCAATGTAGACCAATATTATCACTCTGTTATTAAAATATCATTCTCTATCACTAGGTCCTAAGCCCTGCATTGGTAGACACACCGCTCGCAAGAGGATTATATGATGGCAGCTTCTTTTGCCCGGAAAATGTAAGCTACAATAAATTGAGGCGGCTTTTAAGCTTTTAAAATATTCAACCGTTTTGGATCTATTGTAGAGTGTGTCCGGTTTATACTAGGTCTATGATATGTTACATTTACCTCTGATATAAACGAAACGCTTGATTTAATTCACCCAGCTTTTAATGTTTACTACAAGCCTTTTCAGATTATTTTAGGATTGGAGGATTGTTTTTTAAACCAAAATAAAGGGCACACTGCTATTTTAAAAGTAGATTCATATAACTTGAAATGAAATTTTACTACATTTTTTTATTAGATGAAATAATATTTCCAGAGAATTTGTTTCATTAATTTACTTACATGGTTCTAACAAACGAATATGCATGTCCACATCAGTTAACATGATCGATTTTTAATAAGTGATCTACGACCGCATTCAGATTCACACATCGAACTAGCTGGAATGGTCCAACTCTGCTGGGAATGTTGTCGGCTTAATTGTCTGACACACCTCCTCGAGCAGCTAGGGAGTATTAAACTATGGTGTGCTGAAAAAGCTGATTACCCTGATTGCACTTTAGCGAGAACCCCCTACAGAGTTGGACCGAACCAGCTTGTACGATGTATGAATCTAAATGCGCCCTATTTTAAATGTAAAATTATTTCATGCTAGAGTCTTCAACCGGACGATGTCGCTGCGGCCGTGACTTTTGCCCTTGGTGCCCCGCCATGTGTTAACGTAAGAAAAAGTATCACTAACTTGTGCACGTATGTAAAACTTAAATAAAACGTTTATCACAAGCGGAGGCAGCAAAACTGAGACCACTGCTGATTAGAATTAGGGACAGACTAGAGACAGCACAAAATAACCTCCAAGGGCATATTGAAATCTTTATCTTAAAGAGTGTTCGGGTCAAAATTTTCCTTCATAAAGGTCGAATGTGGGAGCGTCTTTTCCGCCCTTCTGCATTTACTCGTCTATTTTATCTTTATTTCTCAGGTCCGCCATATTTGCCTCCACGCCATCCACGACACAATGTAAGTCCGGGACAACTGCCGTCTTTGCATGTCTGCCAAGTTCACGCCTTTAAAAAAAAATCCGTTTCTTAAAGTGTTATTCTCCAGAACAATAAAGCTTTTAATCTGTTGTGTAGTTAGAGAAGCATAACGTGCGTTTTCCGAACCCGAAGCTGATGGATATTAGCGCTACCACTTTTGAAGCTGATATTTTGTTATTTTTCAATGAAAAAAAATTATAACGCAAGGCAAATATTTAGGATACTAACATTTAATGTTCATTGTTGTGTTCAGGGTTCTTGTATTTCAAAGCTGCCACATACACGGTGGACGCAATCAGCTGGTTTTAAACGTCGTAGCTTGTTTCACATGTTATCAACTTTAAATAAGTATAGACCATTAAAGCCTAGATTACATTTGAAATGCGATTCCCGTGCGGTGCACGTATACTGCCCGAAATTCCCTTTCCGTACGGCGTCTGAGCGGAGGTAGACGGTGGCCGAGTGAAATCGCACGGAATCTTACGGATTTAAGGCCATGTAATGTAGACATACTCGGCGTAGCCCGTAGCTCCTTACGATTTAAAAAAAAAAATGTACGGACAATTTCATCGCGCGGCGCCCGTGTAAATGTAATCTAGGCTTAGGATATTTGTCAGTCTTGTGACCCACAGTAACATACAACTATAGTCTAATTATAGTAGCATATGAATGCTTAAAATAGAGTGTATTACGGTTGTTTACTTTTTATGATGCAAATATATTAAAAACAAATATATCTAAAATAGTGTCATATTTTCATCCCTCTACTGATACATGCACATGTATGTATTTTCATTTACGTTACCTATATTTTATTAATTTTTAGATGCTCACACCATCTGGGCATCCAACATCTATTTTACTGTGTGCATTACGTTACAATACATAAGAAACGGGGGGGGGGGGGGTAGGGTAGATGTTTTCAAACAATTTGACTAAATTGGTTATATGATACATAGTTTTCGATAGCATATTTGTGTTGAAAGTTGTGTTTTGATTAAAATTTCTAATGGATCTCTCTCACCTGTACACCTATCAACACCGTCGTAACGCCTAAATAATCACAGCATTAAGTCCTACAATCAGTGCCGGGGAATCTTTTCGAAAAGCCTAGGCCTTCTATTTTATCTGTATATAGGCGAGACAATGCCTTTGTTTGACGGAACATCGTAATTTGAAGTCAAGGCTCACATATCTCCCAAATAGACTGATAATTAAACTGGCATTTTGTCCAAGGCACGAGTATCCATTTCACGAGTATACAGTAGTCTTGTAGCAAGAAAAAGATTTGTCACAAAAAAAAGAGCGCTTTGTGTTGGAAGTAAGCAAAAAGAATAAGGAATGAAAATTACGAAAAATAGCGCCATTGTATCAGGTTATTTCTTCCAATTGTTTTGGAATAAACTAGATTTCTTCCTTTTAACAAAATATCTCTGTATTCTTGTAAACACCGAGGTTTTCAATACAAAATGGGTGACACACCTTTTTATCCAATCTTATGTATAACACGGCCACCTTAACCCTTTTTGTTTCTAAGATAGATGCTTCAAATATATTTCCAATTGAGGTGACTCGATAAGTAATTGTTGCTGTAAACCAAGACTGATTGTGATAACTGTAGTACTGCGCATGCGACGCAGGTAAGTTTACCTGCCCACCGGCTCAGGTGTGCCGACAGGAGAGCTTCCAACAGCCGCGATGGCGCCTCTCCGGACGCATCAGTCTCCCTAATATCAGCCAATCGAGTCCCTAAAAACTTTCCAAGATTATTTGTTTTTTATTCTATTTTCTCAATCATGCTCTGCGGTAAATCAAATATTTTAATCGGTCACTAATGGGGAAAGGATTATAAGTGAGGGAAAATCGCCTCTTCCAAATACATGGATGACAGAGTCCTTTAACGCTTGAAATACCATTTAGGCAAAATTAAATTATTATAAAAACGTCATTATACGCTTCGGATCAATAATTTGTAGAAATGACCTCACACAAAGTCAATAATTGTATTAGTATATATCTATTTATAAGTACATGTATTTCGAAGGACCTGATTTTCAAGATAACAACACCATTTCATTAACTTTATTTTTTATTCATCGATGGCCGTGTGTGTATAAATAAAAATGATAGAAATAAAAACAATAAATGTATTTATAAAGATGCCACATAGTACAGACTTGACATTTAATATGGAATATTTTTTCCAAGTAATTTTTTATCGTTTTTTTCCCTATTTTGCTGACTGATAAATGAAAATAAGGATTAAAATCGTGTTTTAATAACTTTAAATTATCGCTTTGATGTCATTGGGACATCAATTCATTAATGGAATTCGCCAGAGAAGCAAACAAAAACACATTGCCTATTCTATGTCATACGACTTCCATTAAAAGAGATATTTGGATCTCCATATTTTCCAAATTATCTTCTGTAAAAGAGTTATACGCTCCATAAAAGACCCTCATGTTAGTTGCTAGTCACAGTAATGGTCGCTGTTACGCCTGGCCTCTTCTGGCTGTTGCCAGCGCTCTCGAGCGGCAAGGCATTCCTTGGGGTAGGTTTTTAGAGTTCAATCGGGAATAATATTCTAGGCATTGGTCTAAAATTGTCCAATTTTGGTCCAGTTTTGTTGTAGGACATGTAAGCAGTTGATTCGGCGAGTAATGGCCTACCGAAATATTGTCTATGTGGTTCAAATGAGGCGATTTTGATGACCAGGGTAGCTGCTCATTCCCTTGGTTCTGTAAGTTATCTGCTATTAAAAGTGCTCTGTGTGAACCGGCAACCTCACCGTGCTACCTAATATCGTTCCTAAGGTGCCCCCTATCAAATGATAGTCAAGTGGTTCCGAGATTATTCCTTTATTTGATCTGGTTCAGGTTTTCGTCGATGACTACCATTGGTGTTTTGGCACCAATGTGGTATCCACTCCAAATACTGACGCTGTCAATCACCCTTGTCACTTTAGACGCGGCACACTTTTCGTCATAGGTCTCTTCTGGATAACTGTAAACTCTGTTTTAACCAGTTAAGCGGTACAGGTGAAATCTGACCTCAATAAAGAAAGCCACGCAGTTTCAGTGTTCTACCCAGAAACGGCCATAGCCCCCAATTCATTAGAGAAACAGACGACGATGTTTTGCTGTTTACAGTGGGTGCCTCGGAGGTCGTTTGGTGTTCTTACCTGCTAAAACCAGTTTGGTGTTCGCTAAAGGCTTTGAAAAACGCATTTTGGTGGCAATTTACCCCTCGTTCTGAACGGACTACGTGTTTTTTGTTTAGTTGCAGCAGCGTATCCCGAAAGACAGTGGGTCCTGTACCCTGTTGGTAAGATTTTGATACATTGGGGGTGACCTCTGTGTAGGTGCATCAGTCTGGGCATTACTCTATAAAACTGTGGGGACCGTTCCGTTTGGCGCTATGATCTGTCTGGTAATGTCTGTCTTTTTCGCGCCATTCTGCCATAGATTAACAAATGTGTAATGCACTACTTGACTCATCTTACGCACTGCAAAACTGACCGCTTGCATACAAAACTGCAAATTCTTCTATGCAGTAGTTGCCGACATATGGGTACTTTTTTGACAGAACCAAGCTTTGCCTCAGCCAAGCTTTGACCAGCCCAAAGGAACACTACCCAATTAAATCACTACATATTACATAATATAGCAGCGCAACAGACATGAAAGTAAGTTAATTGGTAGCGACACACCTGACTACACACTTCTCCATTCACAAATCTTATATGAGATCGGAGTTTTTTTTAAAAAAAGAACGCATTTTTACCTAGACATACCTTCGAAACTGAAATATTCCATATTAAATGTCAAGTCTGTATATAGAATGAGCTGAGACAATATTCAGTCCTCGATAGTATAGTGGCGAGTATCCCCGCCTGTCACGCGGGAGACCGGGGTTCAATTCCCCGTCGGGGAGGATACAGTTTTGTTGTTTTTTATTGTTTATTTCATACATTCAAATGATTATTCATTTATAATATATTTATTGATATATTTATTAGTTTAACGTGTACATCTCTGTTACAATGTATGCCTGTCCTTTGCTACATACATCAGCTGTAACTTGCATTTCCCCACTGTACTGTCTCACTTAACGCAATCATCTCGTCTCAGCCAACGCACTCTCCAAAACGCTTCTCAAACAGAGGCCTGGGCTCCGTATCTCGAAAGGTTCACTATGTTGCGCACGTGCGTTAGTGTCTCGATTCCATAACCGATTCTATTTCGAGATACGGGGCCATGGAATCGAGACACTTGCGCACGTGCGCAACATAGCGAACCTTTCGAGATACGGAGCCCTGATTCACCAAGCACAATAAATGGCTACGTTCTAAGTTTAACCAGATTTTCTCGGTTGTTTTCTCTTTATTACGTTACTATACTTTTTTATTTATTTCCCCCGCAGCACAACTGAAATGCAAAGTGTATTTGGCGGTGTATATATAAGTACATTTCACGGTCCCAGGCGAAGTCAATCGGTTGGAACAATTTCATGTGATGAACCCGCAAGTTTTCTTGACTTCCTTTATTTCTATCACTGAGGTCATTGCTGCATTGTTGATATCGTACACACGCGCAGTGATTGAACACATAACCACATGAGAAATGCGCACGTGTGTTTTTCAACAGGAAACTCTGACAAACAACCTTGAATGAGAAATGCTCCGTGTATCCACAAACTGTAATTGTGAAAGATAAACCCGTGCCCCAATAATTTAATTGCTATTAAACAAACTTGGTTTTAGTGAATGATAATTTCACTGATGTCTTTTATTAAGACGAGCCCGCGTTTCTGTGAATGTTACCGTTAGCAAACATGAAAGTGGCTGAAAAAAAAACTATCAGCTGCTATGTAATTCCTACATATATTGAAATGAAAAATCAAAATATTAACGGATTATTTTTGTTTGAATATTATACATGTCTCGTGAGCCTCTATAGCTCAGTGGTTAGAGCACTGGTCTTGTAAACCAGGGGTCGTGAGTTCGATCCTCACTAGGGGCTACCGTTAACTTTTTAACGATCTCTCAGACTATTATGGATGGTCTCCAATACGCAAATACCACTTTTGGAAAAATGTATTTGAACAGCCTTGCACCAAGGCATTCCCTCAATTCAAAACCTTTCAAGGCTTGGTGAGAAAATCTTGTATTATCAATTGTTTCATGTACAAATCAGTCATTTACCTAGATACTACACCGTTCATGTGGCAGATATACCTCACCCCCTCTCTATGTTCCTCACACACTTGCACACATATCTTTTCTCTCACACACTCTCTCTATCACATATACAAAATCTCTCTCTGTCTCTCTCACAGACACAAAACAATTTTCTCTTCATCTCTCACCCACCCACCCACACACTCTCTCTCTTTCTCACGCACACGCACACGCACACTCTCTCACTCACAAACAACACACATCGATTCACTCTCTGTCTCTCACATATACACAAACGTCTCTAGATCTCTCTTTCTCTCTCCCTCACACACACTCTTTCTCATTCTATCTCGCTCTCTCTCTGTCTCTCTCTCTCTTTCGCACATTCCCACTCTCTCTCTCTCTCTCTCTTCTCTCTCTCTCTCTCTCTCACACACACACACACACACACACACACACTCTCCTTCTCTTACACATATAGGCGATACGTGACAGTGAAAATAAAAGATAAAGTATGAGAAGAGAACAGATTTTAGTCGCTTTAAAAAACGAATGACACGGTCTTAGGTTTGGTGTCATATAAATGACATCCGTTAAAGAAAATTTTACTTGTGGCTCATTGGCAGAGGTTAACAATGAACAAGAACATATGTATATAATATGAACCATAAAGATAATATTAACAGTAATAAAGTATGCAAAGAAGCAGCGTGTGTTCAAGCAGATGAAGATCTTAACTGGTTTGGATCCAAGAAACGTCAGCAGATGGCCATAGCAAATTTAAAGTTTTGAAAGCAGTTATACGGACAATGGGAGTTCCATGTAATCATCGCTCGTTGCAGTTACATTACGTATTCCACATTTACCATATTTGTAGTGTAATTTCAATAATTTGTATTTTTCCTTTGGTGCAAACCAAGGCCGGTGTTACAGAAACGGTAGTCCGCTAGGAACCGTAGTCCCTTCCCCATTACTTTGCACAGGTGACATTCGTGCTATATACTAACCCCAATACTACAACTAACTCTTATCTGTACTAATTATATAAGACCCCGGAATTCCATTCCTAGGACAATCATTCCTGTCTTCGCAAAGGAACTTCCATCCGCAATTTGTTTTCAACGTTTTGAGCAGTTTGCATTTATACTTCAACGACGTCTTTCCTGATGCAAATGGACCACTATTAAATCGTCCTGGGTAAAGGTTAGCTTAATACATTTATCTCTAAAACTGAAGTAGAAGCGATTTTCTTAAGTTCTATTATTGTGAGTGGTGTATCCAGCCCTGAACATTAATCGAACTACAATGTAACTTCCTCATCTAGACCCAAGAGTCCTAGACAGCTGCCTACTACTCTGTTCTTAAAAATTAACTCAACTATAGCTAGCAAGTAACAAGCAACGTTGGTATGATATAAATATTTTGCAAGTGGAAATCCTAGACGGCGGCGTATACAACGTGTTTGGCAACGTAATTGTTTTCAGTTCCCCTTTATAACCAGGGCCCGTAACTGGAAAGCATCGCGCATTGCGACCGAGCGCAAGCGTCTCGATTCCATAACTCGCCCATACTCGCCCCATATAATACACTGTAGCTATTCTTTCGAGTTACGGGGCTTGGGTCGCAGGTATCAATCCAAAAGCGTTCAGTCAAAAATAAAATAAAATTAAATAAAATAAAATAAAACTAATATTAACTGAAACAAAATGAAAATCGATAAATAAATTGACCGATCAATTAAAAAGAAGTTCTTGCCTTTTGCCTCACAGTTAATAAGCAGTATATCTAAGCCACGAACAAATGATAACTTCAATTAAAATATTTGAATCAGTTATAAGGGCTTATTCTCTATGGTCCTCTTCTTGTTTTATAGTGAAAGGGGGACTTTCGTTCTGTGCAGCTACCTTACATTAATCCTAGCATTCAGATACCCTTCAAAACGTGGTGGTTCTTTCCATTACCTTTCCTTACGTCCATGTCACACAATATCACAACCATATATTAGAACTAGATATTCAACAAGTAATATTCACGTATCACATCATTTTTTAAAGTCCGTGGTTTTTGTCTATGTGTCTCTGTAACGTATTTGAACTGACGTCCCTCTACACTCAACGTTATGCGCCCTGCGTTAGGTTCATGCTGTTGCGTATATATATACTGTATATACGAGAGGATACCAGTAACAATATGTTTGTGTTCAGTAAGTTTTTAAACCATTCATTGTGTGTGCATAGCTATCTGAGTCCAACAGTCGACGTGTTTATTCTACGTGCAGCCTTTGTGGAAGCGTTGACCTAACCGCTAAAAATGCAAACTATCTGTCCCTTTTCTAATCTGTAGCCCTGTCCACGTTGAATCGATTCATCAATTAAACGTTTAATCAATTAAGTCCAATTCAATTACTCCAGATCCTTCTGTGTGATGTCGGGGGTCTTGAACATGTAGAGTAACAGGCCAAAGCGTTGCCTAAAAGTTATCTATTTACCATCTTTTGTACTCCTTAGCCCAGTCCAAAACCTGCTCAACGAATTCATAGTTAATTCTACGCGCCGCGTTGTAGGAGCCCACGCCGTAACCATGGATACCGATCATCATCCAATTATATCGGCTCCAGGTCCACACCGGACTTCCGCTTTGGCCTCCTTTCGTGTCATTGTCATATTGGATCATCCTCTTCTGGCTATTTCTGATTTTACCGCCTGCTATCCACATGGTGCCCGACGGTTTGTCGCCTGGGTAGCCGGCAATGGTCACCACGCGGTTCTGGAGATCGAAATCGGAGAGAATGTCGTAACCGAAGCCGAAGTCGGAATTGAAATAGCGCTGCGAGTCGGGGACGAAGATGACAGCGAAGTCTTCCATGGAGTCGTTGTACCGTACGAAAGCCTCCCGACATCGGAAATTTTCTCGCCCGACCGTGAATTGACCCGAAGGTGCCTTGTAGGAGTCCCGCATCGGGTAGACGGTGACGCTCGTGACGTATCCGCCCTCTTCTTTCATGTAGAGATTATGGGCACAGGTTAGAATAATGGCGGGCTGGCCCGGACCGAGCATCGTGCTGAAAGCGCCAGTGCCGATATAGTATTGCCCGCTGGCCGCGCGCATTTTGAGATGGCAGATCCATTGGTACGGCTGAGAGGTGCAAGGGCTTACACGGAGGCGCTCGTCCGTGGCGATGACGGATTCGGCCAAGAAGTTGGTCCTTGCGACCTCCCTCTCCATTTTCACCACCTCCTCTCTCGGGAAGATTTTCTCCATTGGGTACTCTGTTATGCCTTCTTCTAGCGGGACGATTTCGGGTTCTCCAAGGTCAAGGTCAGGCTTGTTGCATGGTGGCGATGAGGACGGGACTGAAAAAAAAGGAGAATTTAAATGCATTTAAAATTCTCTATTCAGCAAGTAACCGATCGCAACATAGTAGAACCTGTAGCGTTAGATTTAAACAAAATATATATATGATAATATATAATAACAAACATACCGGTATGCATGAAGCGCTTTCAAACATCAGCCAAAACTAAATGCTCAGTTATCGAAAAAAATATATTCAGGGTTTCGTCTATTCCCTGTTTCAGAAATGTTTTGGCCCTTGCGATTAAAGACAAGTAACATGCCCATATTTTTCTCCTGCAAAACCCTCATATTTCAACGCTCCTTTCGAAAAGCTCCAGTCTAGAAAAATATTTTTCTCCAGAAACTTACTTTTTTTCACGCTTTTTNTCAAAATGCACCTCATACAGGTAATTGATTTAATTGGCCCAGCTCAGCTGTGTACAGTACAAATATAGCCTTGACACTAATTGGCAATAATGCTAACCAGGTATTAAAGAGGTAGGTGACAGCCGATAAAATCTAGAGAGCACCGTAACTGATAACAAATTACAACCAAGGCAATACTGGTAGGTGAGTCTTCATTATAAAAGTCGAAACCCTGCCTGGGTATTTCCACACGTTTTAACTAATTAACACACTCTCCACCCAAACTTTTTGGGCACTACTTTAAATACCGGTATATATGTAGTGTTCGTGCGCCCCAAATGTACACACCTAGGTCTTTGGTTTTCTGTTTTTTCTTTTATGGTAAAATCTGCACCGCTGGCTCTTCATTCTTTGCTATAAAATAAATTAGTTTTATCCTTTACTTTTCCGAAGAGTCTTGATTCAAAGCCACCTCGCCGTCTCTCCTCCGTTTATGGTTTTAGTTCCTTCACCATGGATTGTTACCACTGCAGGCAGCCTGTGAACGCTTGTAAAGTTAGTTATCTTCTCTCGATCATATAACCTGCAGTAATTCATCATTTTGCTCGCTTAAATATCAAAGAAAATACAGAGAACGAAAACTGAACTACAGACATGGCTTGTTTATGCGCAGCAGACGATTCCGGTCTCCCTCCAGAATGGCTGCCGTTTGTTTTGATGACGCAGGCTCTAATGGGTCAATAGTACTCCCTTTTTGTTCCTATCCCCCTTCCACTACCCAATGGCTCGTACGCACAGGTAACGGTTTACGTGTTATATTTGAAAATTAGATGAAAATGCTAAAATATATTTCTTCTCAACCAAAGTGGATTTTAGTTTAAGTTGATTGCCAATAATAATAACTAGTTTATTTTCTCGACAAGCATTGGTTGCAAGAAAACTCTTAATTGGTCTTGTCTTGTTAACAGCGCTCCTACTATGTTACCTTGTACATTGTTTATTTGTAAGTAAATAATCAAATATTGCACAAATATGTGTTAATTTGCTTATTCACGAAGGAAATTTAAAAGAATTGAATAAAAGTACATGTATAATATTTTATTACGTATCAAAACTGATTAGACAACTCTGCATCAACACGTACTCTAAACACCTGTCTTTGTTTTCTAGGTACGAGGTAACGTATCCATGTTGCCACATGACGTCAGGATGTTTTGGTGAAAACCATGGGACAGCTAGGACAGGGAAATTGAAACCAGTAAAGTGGATTCACAGGACGTATATCCACAAGGTGAGTCTTAAGAGTGAACTTACAGGGTAAGAATGTTATATTTGAGTTAAAGATAATGAAGGGAGCTGCTCCTTTAACAAATAAGGATAAAACGAGCACCTGTTAGAATTACGGAGCTTTAAAAAAGAATAGAAGCATCGCTTGTGGAGATTACGGTGTACAGGTACGTGTACATCATACATGTGCTTCCGAAGTTTGGTAGCCCAAGTAGACTTCACTACCACTGCTTATAATTGGATACTTCTCAGTGAAATACAGATTTATTTCATAATTTTTTTTGTCTTGCACCAAATTTGTGAATTATGCTATTTTTTATTATTGCTATTACATAGTATTAGCCGGACTACTACAAGTACTAGGATAATAGATGACCTGAGTTGACAGGACGCTGACCATTGTTTTATGGTATTAAAAAGGAATGAATTAATTCATTATTATTCATTATTTCAGAGTTCAATATGGATGAAGAGAGGACACATCAGAAGAAACAGGGTCTTATTGTAGCAGAAATAGACAAGTTTACGCGACAAGGCACGCAAGAACTCAGTCAAGGAAACTCGAAAAAGGCACTAGCTGCCTTTTCTAATGCATTTAAAAGATCTCTACCACTCAATGATGGATTTACAGAGCGGGCATGTGCATTCAATTTAGGGGCAGTATACATTGCTGTGAATGAACCCAAAAAGGGACTCGAACTATTACAGCGGGCTGTTCCTCCCCTTAACGGTAGAGATGGCCCTTCAAATGGTGACTTGTATTATAACTTTGGACTTGGTTACGAGGCCTTATCAGACCTCCCGGAGGCTATCAGGCACTATAGCTTGGCACAGGAAGAGTACAGGAATGAACTGACAAACTTCCAGATGGAGTCTGATGTGTGTCTCAGACTTGCTGATCTCTATACAAAACTGAACAAGTTCTCCCAAGCTGCAGACAGTTATAGAAATGCTGCAACAGTGTATTTAAGACTAGGTGACCTTCCCACTCAGGCCAAGATGATGTGTAAGCAAGCAGGTCTTTTGATAAAAGTAGGGGATACTGATAAGGCCATTGAAGTGACTGATGATTGCTTGAAGATGTGTAAAAACATTGAGGAAAGTCCAGATATTGGTAAGAACTTTGTCAATTTGATAAAGCATGTAGCATTATATATTTTACTAATTTTAGTGTAAGTTATTAAGCCCATCTGTCATTTTACACTCTATCTACTGTACCTATTAATTTACCATGCCCTCGGCCTGTACATTATGTCCAAATCTTATCTTTTAATGAATTCAGGGTAAGTTCGCTTAGACAGCTTTACTGACACCTTGTTGCTAACAGAATTCCTATTGAAGATTTCATTAAGGGCTACAAATAAAGAAAAGCGTTATCAGGTATGAGAGTATACCCCTCAATAGTGTTGTATTATGATTGCAAGTCTCTCAGGGCGGCTTTAATTATTATAAACAAATCATACAGTAAATCACTGTTACTAAAAATTAATGTTTTTATGCAGGCAAACATGATATGCAATCCATATTTAGTGCAATTTTATATCTTTACTGGGAATATGCAATTCTCATAACGTGTTCCTAAAATAAATATTTTCAGCAGTGGCAATGTTGTATGGTCTATTTTCATTTGAGCAGACAATTGATTTTGTAGCACAGTGACTTTTTATCAGGAACTAATCACTTGTATGTAATTCATTGGTCTCGCAATATTGTGTGATAGCAATTTGTCACACTATCTAGTTGAGATGGAAATGAATATTTTATAGAGACGTAACGGCATTGGCAAGTAATTCATCAGCAGTTTTACAGCACCAAAACATTTTGCAACCAATAATTTTTATGCACTTCTATTGTTTCTGAAACATTATTTGCACATGTCAGATTGAAAGTGCCTGTACATTCTCTCCTAGAAACATACCGTAACTAACTCCTCTATATCTTCCAAGGGCAAATTATTTCATTTCAACTAAATTAATATGATCTTTAGTAGTGGGTCTTAGATGGATTTAATTGTTTTTCCAGCAAAAGTGATGGTTGACTTAGGCATTCTGTACACACAGTGTAGGGAGTTCTCCAAGGCTGCCAGTTGTTTTGAAGAAGGTCTACCACACTGCCGTGGACTCAGTGCTGATGAGAAGACTGAGGCGGTGCTGCTACAGAACTTAGGAGCTGCATATAATTCTTTGGGAGACTTCCAAAGGGCTCTTAGTTTTCATCAGAAGGCTGCAGATCTTCATGGTATGCCAATTTTATAAAGTTTTACAGTGATGACTTGATGATTACATTTGTTGGCCATCCCTTGGCTACTTCTATTAGTGTTTATTACTGTTTTGAATATATTTCAATTTGATGTAGTTAAGACACACACCAATGAAAATTCATAAATTGGGTTTAATATTGTTATTTATGATTTCAGGCAAGTTCAGGAACCGTACCTCTCAGGGCGAGTCCTTCATGAACTTGGCATTTGCTTGCACCCAAACAGGAGATGATGAGAGTGCAGAGGAATACTACAAACATGCCCAGCAGGCTGCAAAAGATGGAGGTGAGGTGTATAATAGAATAGTAACAAGAATATTGCATGACTTTGAACTATCAATTTTTGAGTGTTACACGTGATTTTCTGAATTATTAAAAGTATATAACAGGTACAAGTTATAATTGTGTCTGCATTTAACATAATAGTAAGAAAATGCTGTATGTACCACTTACAGTTAATCTTTATCTATAGGTGACAGTCATGGAGAGTGGCAAGCACTGGAGGGACTTGGAGTCCTTGCCTTTGTCAATGGCAGCATAGAGAAAGCTGTGCGATATTTCAAGCAGGCTTTGGGCAAGCTATCCGTGTGTGAAAGCAATCCTCAAGCCCAGGAGAGAATAGTTGCAAAACTCACAGATGCCCTAAGTTATCAGCTTCAAGTTGGTGGTCATGTTGATGGCAGCAGTGCCCACGGTTTGATGAATGGAGGTGGTAATGGATACACTCACAGTAGAAGAAGCAGTAGTAGGAGTGGACATGATATGGCAGGGCACCAGTCCCCACATCAGCACTCGGAAATAAATGGATGGACTAAGCAGTCATCATCTGAACCCACTGTTGAAGTGCATCAAACAAGAGAGAGCCCAAAGCATGGAAAGACCAATAGGAAAGAAAGGTGAATACTTAGACTCCAAAACAATATCCCATTACAATTACTCCCTCCTGGATAATTTCCTAACAGGCAATTTTTCTCTGCAGAGTACTACCACTTATGACAATATTCCCCTCTTTGATGATTGTCTCTCTCCCTCTCTCTCTTTCTCTATCTCTCCTTTACATATGTATTATATCTTTATTAACTTTAAGTCAGCTTAATAGCATTATTATACAAGATAGTGAAATATGTTATAATGTTTATTCTTCATTAAAATCAGTTACATGTCATTTACTATTACTTCTATATTTGTGATACTCAAACATATACAGTTCTGAAATACATTAGAAACACAGGGAGCTTTGCAAATTGACCTTCTTTTTTCTTTGAATTGAATGAATTGCTTTGTTGTTGGTAAAATGTAAACTTCTGTTTCTAACAGAAAGTCAAAAGTGACAAGAAGAGCTACATGGAGGGAAAATATGATGATGCATTCTGGGCGTGTTGGAATGCTTGGCCTTGGCATTGAACCTCATGAACCAGTTGATGAAAAGAAAAGACATTCTGACACAGAATTGATCAGTAGAAGGTATGTGCTACTTATCAAATGTGGTTT